GCCCCGTGTCCCCATGCCCCATGTCCCCATGTCCCCACTGTCCCCGTGTCCCCATGCCCCATGTCCCCACTGTCCCCATGTCCCCATGAGCCATGTGCCCATAACCCATGACCTATGTCCCTGCCATCTGCCCCCCACCACCTGTGGGGCCCTCCCGGGGCTGCTCCGCGTGTCCTCCCTTCCCCCACTGCAGGTGGACTCCACAAACACACACGTGATCCTGCACAAGCTGGATCGACCACATCAGATCCTTGTCAAAGTCTCTCATCCGCCCCCACGCCCGCCCTGCTCTCTTACCCAGCACTCGGCTCTCTTCCTGTTCCTCACACACGCCACCCTCACCCTGCGCACAGGACCCCCCGCCCCGCGGTCTCCGCCTGCAGCACCCCTACCCGCCCACCGACCTAGCTCCTGCCCGTTTCTCAGACATCTCCTCCTCGCCTGCCCTGAGGAAGGTCTCCTTCCTTACAGCGCTGGGACCGTGTCACAGGCCTGTCTGGCGTCGAGGCCCTTCTCCTCACCCACGTCACCTCCTCAGGCTGCCGCACCTGATAGAGGACATCTTGGCGGCTGCTCCTTTCCCACAGAAATGCCGTCCCTGCGGAGCCTGGACCGAGGTCTCCTGGTGGCCCCAGTGAATCAGCAGGCCTGCGGGCTCCTTCTCTGCTCCGCAGTTCAGAGCGTGGCCACCAGCACCAGGGTCACCTCTTAACCCAAGATGGCTGCTAGAGCACCAGCCGTTGCGTGTGCTTGCGGGCTGGAAGGCAGAGAAAGGCAGAAATAAGGAAAAGGCCCTCCAGGCTTCGCTGCCGTCCTTGGGTTCCCACCAACAGGCTCCTTCCGTGTCATTTCACGGACATGGTCACGCAGCTGCACGGAGCGGATCCAGGGCCCCGGGTGTTGTCTTTCGTTCCATGGGGCTAGACAGTGCTGGTCTGTTTGGCACGGATGGAAGGCCCAGATGCGGTGGGGGCAGGAGCCATCTGCGTGACTCCCCCCTTCACACCGAGGGAAAGGCTCTTCCTCACCATGGACCCTGAGAGCCTGCTCCGTTCCCTCCTAGGGATCCTGCCCAGACCCTCCATCTGGGCCGAGCCGGCCTCTGTGGTCCCCTGGGGTCAGCCCGTGACCGTCAGGTGCCGAAGCCCTGCTGAGGCTGAGACTTTCCACCCGGAGGAGGGGAGTCCCTGGTATCAGGGTATGAGGAGCGCAGCGCACGGGACGGAGGCCGGATTCCCCATCAGTGCCGCGAATGAGGACGCTGCCGGCCTTTATCGCTGCCTCTATTACAGAAGTTTCACCTGGTCTGAGAGCAGTGAGGCGCTAGAGCTCGTGGTGACAGGTCAGGACGCCTCTGCTGTGCGCCTCTCTGCTTGCCCCAAGCTCCCTGCCCCTCTGCCCCCCGCCACGCCGCCCCCCACCACAGCCCTCGGGCTCCCTCTCTGCCTCTGCACACATGACCCTCTGCCTTCCCCCGCACTGTGGGTACCCTGAGCCCTGGCCTCATCTGGACGCCATGATAGCTTGGACGCTCAGCCCAGTATGGGGAGGGCATGGAGCTGGCCCGTGGGGAGTGGGCTTCCAGGGATGGGGCGTGCAACAGACCCCAAGGGTATGTGTGCCTTTTCACGCAGGGTGGTGCCGAAGCGTCCTTGCCACAGGGCCAGGCCCTGCGGGGCCCCAAGGCATGTGGCCCCTGTGCTGTGGGCCATCGTCCACTGGGCCAGTCGCACGGTCCACAGGGTCCTGACCACTCTGGACAGTGGTCTGGGGGACTGTTTGGGAGGGGCTATCCCTGTCCCTGTATGTGGTCAGCCCTGGTGCCATGTTGGAGTCAGGGTCTACTGGGGGACACTAGGGCCCCCCACACACACACACAAGGAGGGAGGGAAGGGGATTCTTCCTTGAAGCCCTGCGTTTCTCTCCTGTTTCTCTTTATTCTGCTGTGACTCACACATGTCACAGGTCGCATGCACAGGGTCCAGGGGTGGCCACCATCATGCAGGTGCAGGGAACCCATCCAGTTTATCCTGAACCTGAGCCACCCCCGCCCCGCTGGCCTGGGGGTATGGGTGGCATGGGGGCCCTGCTAAGGGAGGGCCCCCGAACCTGTGGCCGGGTGGGGTGGCTCCAGGCTCACCGTGTTTGTCCCTGGACGGGGACCAGCTGCTTTGTGCCAGTGCAGTGAGGGCCGTGAGCCCCTCGGAGGAGTCGGAGCAGAGAGCATGCCATCCCGGGACCCTCTGGGCTCCCCGTCCCCCTTCCCGGGAGGGGACAGCACTGTCATGTGCACTGGAGAAACGGAGGAGGCCAGGTGGTGGGCGCTGTGGGAGGGGAGGCCCGGGCTGAGCAGGACAGACAGACCCAGGAGCTGGAGCTCAGCACTTCTCCCGTCTGCTCACAGATGGTGGGTCGTCCGTCCTTTATGGGCACGGGGACCATGGGTCATGAAGCCCTTAGGGGAATGTGGATATGAGGTCCCACACCCTAATGGTGTGGGATCATGGGTTGCACACACAGAGGGGATATAGAGCATGGGTCCTTTAAGGGGGTGTTGCCCCAGCGTGAGGAAGGGGCTCCTGACAGGTGCTGGGAATGAGACGCAGCAGCTGAGTTCCCACCTCATCCCTCTGACAGTCCCTGATGCCCTCTGCCTCCCTGTGAGGGTGACGGGGTCAACAGGCCCCCTCTGTCTGGCCCCGATGTGTCCGTCTGTCTGAGTGGATCCCTAGCCCACCTTCTCCCTCTAGTGCTTGTGTGGAACCTTCCAGGAGGAGGAGAGCCCAGCGTGAGGACGCTCTGGACCCTTCCACCCCCTTCCCTGCCCCAAGCGTGTGGGGGGCCTGTTTGCTGCATCGATGTCTGTGGGGCTTGTGGCTCTAACCACGAAGGGAGGAGACTTCCCCATGTGCCTCTCACACTGAGGCGTTAGTGGGACCTCCAGATCCTGCCACCCCCAGAGGAACCACGGGACCTGGGGACCCAGCACCAGCCCTACTGCAGCTCTGAAAGCCCCCAGGGTTCTTTCTACTGTTTGCTGGGCCACAGCCCCAGGGGACCCCAATACTGGGAAGGAGGGGAGCTGTCCAGGGAGGGGTGACCCATCACAGTTCCTCCCCTTGATGGAGAGGCCAGGGGCTGTGCTCCCCTACCCCCGCCCCTTGTCCTTTCCCAGGATGCTGGGATGCTGGTGTTCGAAGCAGGAAGCCATTGGTGGGCCAGACCCAGGGCCTGGGGGCGGTGGTGGGCAGAGCAGAGGCAGCCCCGCCCCTCCCGCCCGTAGCCCCTCCTCCCAGAGCCAGGTCCCCCAGCTCAGGGTGATGGTGAAGCCTGGGTCCCAGCCTCAGGCCCTGCACTGAGGGGCGCTCCCCAGGCAGTGGACTCTCCTGCAACCTCCTAAGCAGAGGCCTATTTACTCCTGGGGACGAGAGAGCAGGGGCAGGGATGCGCCCTGGGTCCCTGAGCCGCTTTGAACACAGGCAGGCTGGGATTTTCCAGCCGTGCCTGATCTCTGGTTCCTCGCTGACTGGTGGTGGGAGCCAGGGCGCATGGACCCGGCCAGCCATCTCCAGTGAGGGACGGGGTGCAGGGGCCTGGCTCTCCCCAGCGAAGGGAAGGTCCTGGGAGGGCTCAGGAGCTGAGGGCAGTCTCAGGATAGCAGCCTCCCACCCACAGAGAGAGGCCCAGGACAGGTGAGTCACCGGAATGTGTCCGGGGCAAGTGCTGGGTGAGGGCAGGTCCTGGGCTGGGCTGGGCTGGGGGAAGAAGCTCCCGACTCGGTGGTCCTGGGCTGGGCGGCATCGTACCCACCCGCTGCTGACTCCCCTGTCTGTGTGCTTCCAGCCCCTCCCTTCCCGAATTACACGGGGGGAACTACGTCCACTTGAGCCTGGCAGGTGTGGTCTTGCTGATCCTGATGGCGATTCTGGCAGAAGCCTGGTACAGCCGGACAGGTCCCAACACAGGTCCCAACACGGACCGCAAAGAAGGAGAGAGACTAGACCCGCAGGGCCCAGGAGGGACATCCCCAGGCCTCTGAGGCACAGGCTGGAGGAGACCCAGCGCAGCCCTGGTTCTGGGCTTTGCCTCCTGGACTGACGCACATGATCAACGGTGCTTTCTTGCCTCTCCCTTGGTGACCTCAGCATCGGAGCACTTGCCTTTGCAGGTTCAGTAGAAGGCTCCAGAGCATCACTCCCAGCCTCCCTTTCCTGGAGCCCAGCATTCCCAACTGCCTCTGGGAACTGGGCCCCAGGCTCTCACTGACACCTATCTTACTCAGGGAGACCCCAAGTGCACCTGCCCAGGGTGTCCGCACACCCCGGTTCTTCCATGTGGAGGACCTCTGCCTTCCTCCACCTGCCGGTGGCTCCTGGGCCCCCTTGTGAGGGGTCACGGGTCCAGGGGAGGATATGCAAATCAAAGCCCGGCGGGCAAGCGCCTCCAGGAGCTGGGAGGCAGCGGCACAGGTTCTCCCTAGAGCCGCCAGGAAGCAGCGGCCGCAGCCGCCCCCTGTCCGCCTTCTGCCCCCGGGACATAGCATCGCAATGAACCTGCTGCGGGGAGCCTCCGCGTCTGCATCCTGCGTTCCCGCAGACGAGGCGTCTCACGCCTGGTGTCCCAAGCTTCTGGAAACGGATTCCGGGACTGGCCTCTCCTGACCAGCGCTCCGACCTCAGCCGCTGACATCTCACCGCAAACCTCTGACCACCAGTGGCCGGAGCCCAGCCTGGCCACCTTCCGGAGGCCTGGGCTTCATCTCCGAGGCTCTGCAGGGGCCGCGGGCTTGTGCGCGGCGCGGGTCCCTGCGTGGTCCTGATGCAGGATGGAGGATGCAGGATGCAGGATGCAGGATACAGGATGCAGGATGCAGGATACAGGATGCAGCATGCAGCATGCAGCATGCAGGATGCAGGATGCAGGATGCAGGATACAGGATGCAGGATGCAGCATGCAGCATGCAGGATGCAGGATGAGCTTCCCGAGGTCGCCGCATCTCTGCACGAGGCGGGGCTGCGCGCGGTGGTCGCCCCCCTTCTCTCGGCGGGACGGACGGAGGGCCGGCTAGGCTCTCAGGCAGGCCTCTCCTCTTCAGGAATTGTGCCCACGCCCCTCCCCTCTGGCCACACTGTGTCTGTCTCCAGCAGCGCTGGGGCACTGTCCTCAGCACGAGGGCTGCCTGCCAGGGCCTCAGCCTCCTGCTCAGACTAGGAGTGTCCTCATTGCAGTTTTTGGTACTCAACTTGCCAAACTTGGCCTTGGGAAGGCGCCTCCAAGCCTCCTGCTGGGTTCTCGCGAGGGGACCCCACGCACCATCAGCTCTGTCTTGCTCTCTGGATTAAATGGAGTCCCAGGCTCATTTTGTGTCCCTCCTGCCCTGGACCAGGAGTCCACCTTTTCTGCAAGAGTTCTCGGGCTCCTTTCTCTGGGGAATAATATTTACAAAAGAAGACCTGGGGGGTATGTGAACTCAAGGCTACTGGGCTTTTGTTCCTTACGGAGCAGGTTAACATTCAGGGAGGATGGGAAATGTGCTCTCGCGGGCGTGTTCCCAGCCCTGGTGTGATGTCATGGTGCTTAGGAGCTTGCTTTCTCTCTTTTTTTAAAAAGTAAGCTTCATGTCTAGCATGGAACCCAATGCGGGGCTTGAACTCACAACCCTGAGATCAAGACCAGAGCTGAGATCAAGAGTCAGATGCTTAACCAATGGAGCCACTCAGGTCCCCCAATGGGCTTTTTATGTTACGCTTGTATTTCTCATATTTCAAATCCCTGCTCCTAATAAATTAATGTAAATACATTTTTGCTTTACCCTGTGGCTTTGTTGTTAATTGGGTGTAAATGTATCTTTACCTTTCTTTGTTCATATTCATGTCGGAGTGGGCTGTCTCCGTCTTGTATGATTTAACTGTACTTTGGAATGTGTAGGACATTTGTAGGTTTCATTCGTAGGTTCATAGATGACCCACCTCACCCTCTCTTCTTCACCCCTCCCCCATATTGCAGGTGACTATCTTTGTTACTTACTGGTTCTCAGAATGAACAAATGATCTGTGGAAAGGTAAGTCAGCAGACACATCCTGTTACTTAACTCCTTCCTTAGATGCAGGTCAGCCTGTTACAGCTATTGCTGTACACCCAACTTTCCACTCTTCCGGCTTCCTATTGCTCCTGAGATAAACCACCACGAACCCGGTGCTGACAACAGTGCTCATTTATTCCCCAGGCGGTTCTGTGGCTGAGAAGGCTGACATGGTCCCCCTGGGCCACAGGAAGGTGTCAGCAGGGCTGTGTCCCTTCCAGGGGGTACAGGCACTCAACAGAACACCGATGAACCACAATGGAGCTGAGAGAAAATTCGTAGCAGGAAAAAAAACCCCAAAATATCTCTAAACAGAAATGGAAACACAACATACCAAAACCTATGGGCTGCTGCCAGAGAAGTTCTGAGAGGGAAAGTTATAGTCATGAATGCATATACTAAGAAATTGGAAAGATCTCAAATAAACAACCCAACTTTACACCTAGAAGGAGAAGAAAAAAAGGATCAATGAATCCCAAAGTTAGCAGAAGGAAGGAAATAGACATGAGAATAGAAGTAAATGTAATAGAGACCAAAAAAGAAAAGAAAAAGAAAGAAAGAGAAAAAGAAAACGCAAGAAAAAGAAAAAAAAAATCAATGAAACTGAATTTGTTTCTTGAAAAGATAAACCAAATAGGGGTGCCTGGGTTGCTCAGTCAGTTAAGCGTCTGACTTCGGTTCAGGTTCATGACTTCAAACTCCGCGTCGGGCTCTGTGCTGACAGCTCAGGATTCTGTGTCTCCCTCTCTCTCTGTGCCTCCCTCAGTCATGCTCTGTCTCTCAAAAACTAAAGAAACATTTTAAAAATTAAAAGAAAAGATAAACCAAATTGAAAAACTTGTAGTTAGGACACCTCAGGAAAAAAATAGGGAAAATGCAAATAAAATTGGAAATAAAGAGGAGACATTACAGCTGATGCCATAGAAATAGATAGGGTCATAAAAGACTTCTGCCAACGATTATATGCCGACAAATGAGACAACCTGGAAGAAATGGAAAATTCCTAAAAACATCCAACCTACCAAGACTAAATCAGGAAGAAACAGAAGAGCTGAACCAACCAATAATCAGTAAGGAGATTGAATCTGTCATCGAAAACCTTTCAACACAGAAAAGCCCGGGACACCAGATGGTTTTACTATCAAATTCCACTAAACATTTAAGGAAGAGTAAGTGCCAATCCTTCTCACACTCCCCCAAAAAATGGAAGAGGAGAGAGCACTCTCAAACTTATTCTTTGAGGCCAGTGTTATCTTGATTCCAAAATTAGATGAAGACCCTACAGAGAAAGAGAGACAGAGACCAAAGTTTTTATCTTTCCTGACAAAATAATTTGCCTGACAAATCAGTCTCACTGGCATCTCTGTCTTTTTAGTGTGTTTATTAATCTTGAATTTGGAGACCCAAGTATCTTCCCTGGTTTAAAAAGTTCTCAGTTATGATTCTTTATGTAAGTTTTCTGCCCACCTCTCTCCCTTCTTTTTCTATAGCCTCAATACTCCATTCTGCTGCAGATGCTCTCTGGTGTATTTTTTTAAAAATTCATGAGAGACTCTTCAATGCTGAGAACAAGCTGAGGACTCATGGGTGTGGGGGGGAGGGGAGAGATGGGCATGAAGGAGGGCACTTGTGGGGATGAGCACTGGGTGTTATATGGAAACCAACTTGACAATAAACTATTTGTAAAAATAAATAAATAAAAACTAAAATCTGGGTAAAAAAAATTTCATTAACTGAATTCCTCAAGTCTAGAATTTGTGTTTCGTTCTTTTCTACGATCTTTATGTCTTTGTTAAATTTCTTTTTGTTCATGTATCGCTCTCTTTATTTTTTCGTCTTTCTGGGTTTTCCCATAGCCCAGGGAGTTTCCTCAATGCAGCTGTTTTGAAATCTTCATCAGGTGTGTTGCAAAAGTCCAAGTGTGAGGTCAGTTACTGGAGGACTGTCCTTATCTCTTGGTGATGACAGGTGTCCTTGATTCCCGTGGTCCTGGGAGTTCTGCATGGCTGTTTTGGCATTTGAAGTGGTAGTCACCTCCACAAATCTTTAGGAATTGTCTTCATGTGGAAGATATTTGTTATTGGTCCTTCGTTTCTTCTTATGAAATTCGAAATTCATAAGCTTCTATTTCCTTTCTGACTCTTGCAACCCACCAGGCTGGCTGCTGGAACCTCTCTTTTGTTTTGCTACATGTTTGTGGCTTCTCTCGTGCCCACAGACCCCACTTTGTTCTCTGAGCCTGCATGAAGACCTGGCCGCAGTGATGTGTGGGTTTTAACTCATGGGGAGTGGAGCACACCCTTGAGCTGGGGCTGGGGTTGAGGAGAGATCCCCCAACAGCTCAGAGATAGGCTTCCTGCTGGGGTCCTGAATGCATCAACAGGAGCTGCATCCATTTAATGCCCTAAGATTCTTGCCTTCCTCATTCCCCGTCTCCTGCTCCCTCCAGTCTGGAGGTCCTGTCCCAATACTCTGGGGGTCTGCAGAAGACCCACATAGCTGGAGAGGTTGGGCCCCCACTCAACACTGCCCCCTTTCCATGTTGGCTAGTTCAGACCCTTGACTGTGCCACCTGGGCAGAGGGGCGACATTAGCAAAGTTCTTACCCTCTTATCTGTATCTCCGTTTTCTTCATTTACAATGAAGGGTCAAGTACACATGTCATTTAAAAATATATGCATCCTAACACTCAGTGTGTGATGTGTCTTGGTCTCTGTAAAATGTTCAATTGTCTCTCTTCAGCTGTTGCTAGATCATCCTCAGTTCTTTCCTTCTGACGCAACAGATATGACATTTGCCCCTACGCATTCAATTCCCCAAGTATCTTGAAATTCTCTATGTGGTCTCTTTCTTCAATATTGCATTCCAGTTTTATAAATGGCTCTTCAGTTCTACCTCGTCCTTAATGGAATGGATTTTTCAAGTGTATTAATTTTATTGGATTTTTCATCTCTAAAACTTCTTAATCATTTCAAGAATTGCCTATGCTTCTTTAACATCCATATCTTTGCATCAAAAATTCAATATCTCTTTAATATTTTTAAAATTTTTAATGTTTATTTATTTTTGAGAGAGGGAGACACACACACACACACACACACACACACACAGAGTGCTCGCAGAGGAGGGTCAGAGAGAGAGGGAGACACAGAATGTGAAGCAGTTTCTAGGCTCTGAGCTGTCAGCACAGAGCCTGACATGGGGCTTCAAACCCACGAACCGTGAGATCATGACCTGAGCTGAAGTGGGACGCTTCACTGACTGACCCACCCTGGCGCCTCTATTTTTTTCAGATATTTAAATATGCTTAATTTTATCCTCATATTTTCCTATCGATTCTATCTCCTTGTAGATGGTAATCAATACTTTTTGTCCAAGAACTGTTCACCATTATTGGGATTCCTGTCTGACGTCCATTCTTAGTAGAAACTCTCTTCCCGCACACCTGATCCTATAAGAAGTTTCTCCCGGGAGGGGGGGGTGCTGCCCTGGGGGTCAGGCTGGCCGCCAGAGATCATTGCAGCATCTCCCGCTCTGTGTGTGATGTCCACACTCTCAAGCGGGCATCTGCTCGGGGCTGTGGGAGGCAGGGATGGGTTCAATGCCAGCCTCAAGCTCACAATCACTCATGTAGGAGAAAGTGTAGTGAATCTGTTTCACACACACATAGGGAAAGTGGCTCAGAGCTGGCGGGGTCAGTGAGCACAGACACTCCTGTGTGGGTTTGGAAGCCCTGAAGTTTCTAGCCTTTACCTGGAGCCCTGAGCCCTGCCTGCCTGTGAGGACCCTGGGGTCCCTCTCAGTGTCCGCATGGGTGGAAACCTCTACTCTCTCACCCACTGATAGTCGATGGTCCTGTAGTGGTGGCTACTCAGCTTTCTTCTCTGTTCTTGCCTGTGGCTCCCTGACTCTTTGGGGAGGGTTCATCTCTCTGTTCTTGCATATGGCTGTTTCTACACGTTTCGGAAATATGACACGTAGCACTTACTATGTGGAGCAGATATGGGGTCTTGACTGGCTACAACAAATGTCGACCTAGGCTGAGGAGTCTGACCCCATGTTCCTCCCATGTTCCAAACCCTTCTCAACCTGCCCTGAAAACCAAGAGTGATGGATCCCCACATCATGACCTGGGAACCACTGACCCCTGCAGTGACTCTGTGGAATGAGGGGTTCAGGACAACAAGATCAAAACAAGGAAACAGGATTGTAGACAGGATGTGACCACTCTGGATCACACAGGCAGTGGGTGATAGATGGTAACCTTTCCTCCAAAATCGGAGCTCTAACCCAAATAATTGTTCCCTACATCTTGTAGGCAGGACCCCAGAAATGGGTAGGGGGGCTCTGCCCCAGTAACGAGGGGCACTGAGGAGGCAGGAGGGACTCACAAGCATGTTCTCAGGAAGGTGGGGGGATGGAAACTGTCACGGGAAAATAGAGAAGCCCATGAAGGCTTTGACAGAAAGAAAGCCCACACTCTGGGGCCGGGAGACGGTTTGCGTTTCCTTCAGTATTTCCCTGTATTTCCCCTCTGTGCGCATCACCACCGTGACCTTGACCTGAGCCCTGAAGAAATGTCACAGGTGTGTCTGCACTGATATGTGGCCACAGAACCCTCATCCCCTGTGGCATCTCTGGGACCTGGGGACCCCATGTGAGGTGAGGACCCCTGGGGACGGGCTGAGAATGAAGGAGGCCCCATAGGGGAGGTTCTGGGAGGGAAGTATGTGCTGTGGTCTCCTCACCTGGACGGGGCATCTCAGGAAGACTTAGGTCCGCTTGCTGCACCACCATGGACACCAGAGCCGGGCCCCTGGGGATGGGTTGTTCCCCTTCCTCTGGGGCTGCTCACGTGACAACCCCATGACCGGCAGAACAGCCTCCAAGTGGCCACACCCTGTGTGTCTGTCTGACCTGCAGGCTTTGAGGGCCCTCCCTGTGCACAGCTGGGTCCAGAGGCAGGAGAAGCCATGACCCCCACCCTCATGGCCCTGCTCCTCCTCGGTGAGATCTCAGGAGGGGAGGGGATGCCCTAGTCTGGGAGGGACCCGCCTCACAGCCAGTCCCTGGGCTGCCAGAGACCCCAGGCACAGGAGCTCATGGGAAGGAGGGGTTCTGCTCAGGATTCGGGGCAAACCTCTCACAGGGACTCTCTTGCAGGGCTGAGTGTGGGCCCCAGGACCCGAGCACAGGCAGGTGAGTCTGTCCCCACGGGTCCCGTCCCACCTTCTCACTGGGGACAGGGCTCACCCACCAGGCATCTGGGAATAGAGAATAGCAGTTCTGGGTGGATGGAGAGGGGATGTCTGGGGGCTTGGGGCTGAGCTGGGAACTGGGGGTGGGGAAGGTCTTGTGAACCAGACTCTGTCTCCTTTCAGGGACCCTCCCCACACCCACCATCTGGGCTGAGCCAGGCCCTGTGGTCCCCTGGGAGACACCTGTGACCATCTGGTGTCAGGGGACTCTGGAGTCCACGGTGTTCTATCTGGATAAAGAGGAACACGTGGGGCTCTGGGATGTTCATTTCCCAAAGAAGCCTGGGGACAAGGCCAAGTTCTCCATCACATACATGACAGATGTGTATGCAGGACGGTATCACTGTCACTATCGAAGTCCCTCTGGCTTGTCAGAGAGCAGTGACCCCCTGGAGCTGGTGGTGACAGGTGCGAGCCCCTCAGGGTCCCAGCCCCAAGCTCTGCCCTCAGGGAGGGGGTCTGCTCTCACGGAGTCCCCCTCTCACAGCCCAGCCCTGGGGACACTGGGGGGGATCTGAGTCCTATTTAATGTCCCCTCCTCCTCTCCTAGGATTCCTTGGCAAACCCAGTCTCTCAGCCCTGCCCAGCCCCGTCGTGACCTCAGGAGGGAAGGTGACCCTCCAGTGTGCCTCATGGGAGAAATTCGACAGGTTCGTCCTGATGAAGGAAGGAGAACCCAGGCCCTCCTCGACCCTGGACTCCCAGCGACCCACCAGTGGGGAGTTCCAGGCCCGGTTCCCTGTGGGCCCCGTGAACCCCGGGCTCAGGTGGATGTTCAGATGCTATGGCTATGACAGCAACTCCCCCCAGGTGTGGTCACAGCCCAGTGAGCCCCTGGAGCTCCTGGTCTCAGGTGAGGAGCCCCGTCCCTGTCCCAGATGTGTTCGACTCTAGGCTCTGTCGGGACACCCCTGATCTAGGCCGAGAATGAGGGTGTTCCGAGGGAGGGTCATCCAGAGGGGCACTCACCCCTCAGGGCAATGGAGGACCATGGGGCCGTCGCACCCCTGCCCCTTCCCACATGCCCATCACTAGAAGCTCCAGGTGCATGCATGGGGGTCTTTCGGGGCCCCAGGGCAGATACACCAGAAGAGTTTGAGCCTAGAAGGGTCTCTCTAGGAAGCCCCAGCCCCCTGCCCTCCTCTTGTCTCTTTACCAGGACCCTCTGGGGGCCCCAGCCCCCCCTTCACAGGACCTAGCCCCACAACTGGTGAGTCACTGGGGCCTTTTTGTTCAGAAGGAGTACAGACCATCTCAGGGAGTCTGACAGCTTCTCGGAGGGTCTAACGCCCCCTCAGATGCTCAGAAACTATTTTGTGTCCAAGGGGGCTGGGAGACCAGCAGGCCCCAGGGGGTCTAGGCCAGCAGAGTAGGGCCGGGGTGGCCATGGCAGGGGGGGGCCCAGCTTGGGGGACAGCAGCCAGGCTGAACTGGGGAGCTCGGATAGCCCCACCGCCTCACCTCCCTGAGTTGGTGAGGGGGTTTATGACGTACATTGTAGGGTCCATTGAGGAGAGGTTCAGCGCTCTCTGAGATGGTGATTTGGGGCAGGTCCCTTTCCATCAGGGCCTCAGTTTCCCTGTTTGTGATAGGGTAGAATCCCGGCTCCGATTTCATGGGCGTGTCATTAAACGGCGGATCCTGCAGGGGAGCTGCTCTGGTCTGCGGAATTGGAGGGTGCACAGTGCGGGCTGCAGAGTGCACGGGAGAGCAGAGCAGGGGCACTGGCGACGTGCCCGTGCTGCTCTGTCAGCGCTGTGGTGCTCAGCCTGGCCCTGTCCGGGCACCCCTGATGGGAAGAAATCAGAACCAAACAGAAACAAACAATCCCAGCTCCACTCCCTCCTAAACGAATCTCCTACCATCTCCCTCACGGGTTTGCTGAGAGGTTTAGGTGAGATCTTGGAAATAAGAGTCCTCCGCGTGGGACAGACCCGTGAGGTGTGCAGAAACTGGCATCCTGGAAAGTCCAGACCGGCCCCAGTTGTGAGTGTGAGGTCTGAGGGGTGGAGGACAGGTCTTGGCTGGCCCTGGGCAGTGGGGAAGGCACGGAGTCCGTCCCACGCAGGCCCGGTTCTGAGCAACCCCAAAGCCTCTGACAATCGGAGGTGCGTTCATCGCTGGCTACAGGAGAGGGCAGGACACATGGAGGCAGTGGACAGGCCATCCCAGTCAAGGTAGGAGCCCAGAGCCCGGAGCAGGTGTCCATTAGGGTGGGCAGTGTGAGGAGAGCACAGGGAACCCACGGTCCTGGGTTCCAATCCCAGCTCTGCCACCCACTTCCTGGCTGGGGGATCTGGGCACCTGACGGATCTCTCTGAGCCTTGGTTTCCTTGTCTGTGAAATGTGTGAAGGTGGGGTGGTTTTCCCCTGATGCACCATCATTATGGATTAGGGGTAATGAACGCATAGACCCCCAGCACGGGTCTGCACACAGTAGGTGCTCAGTTAAGTGACATCATTTTTCCATTCATGACATCACTTATGTCCAAGGTCTTGAAAAGTACCAGAAAATTTTGATTGGGGTCTCTGTGACCTCAGTCCTGCTGCTCACTCTCCTGCTCCTCCTCCTCCTCCTCCGACTCCAGCACCAGAAAAAATGCTGCAAATCAGGTAAGTAGAAGATGGCGAGGTCTTGTCCAGCTGAGACGTGCGATCTTACCCTAAAGACATGAAGTGGCTTTTCTTAGAGTGCCAGCCAACACATGTCACCAAAACAGAAAGAAGTGTTCAGTCGTGAAAAGCCTCCAAATTAAACAGTGAACAATTTCTAGGAAGTTGTTCCCATCACAGCCTCTTTGGGACAGAGATTGGGATTTCCAGAAAGTGCAGTTATGAGGTCAGGGGTCCCACATGGGGATAGCAAGGTTCCCCCCAACACCTGAGGAGCCACACCGGGCATGAGGAGGGGGCTCTGGGAGGGGTCCCTGCAGCCATGAGCAGTGGGGAGCAGTCAGAGTGGTGAGGAGCGAAAGCAGGATGTGGAAGTGGTTGAGAGACTAGTTGCTTTGAGCAAATATGTAAATATGTTGGGGACAAAGGGAGTCCAGTTACTCAAGGTCTGCAGGGATTTATAAATGTGCAAAGGCAGGTGGCTAAACTCTGAGCTATTGTCCCAGAATTGGAAGTGTCACTGTGACCTCACTAAAATATATACTTAGACATCGGTGGACATGAAATAGCTGTAAGTATGTGTTTGTTATCCGGTCTGTGCATATATATACACACACGTATGTCCCAGCTATGTCCACCGATAAAATCTAGACACTGACAGCAAACCAATTTTCCAGGTCTTGGTTTTTATACACCAGCTGTATTAAAAGGAATTGAATGGAATACTCCATGGCAATGAGAAAGAATGAAATCTGGCCATGTGTAGCCACATGGATGGACCTTGAGGGTGTTATGCTGAGCGAAATAAGTCAGGCAGAGAAGGACAAATATCATATGTTTGCACGTATAGGAGGATTGGGAGGAACTTAACTGAGGACCATGGTGGAGAAGAAGGGGGGAAATAGTAGGGGAGAGGGAGAGAGGCAAACCATGAGAGACTCTTGAATGCTGACAAAAACTGAGGACTAATGGACATGGGGGGGAGGGGAGAGATGGACATGGAGGGGGGGCATGTGTGGGGATGAGCACCGCGTGTTATATGGAAACCAACTTGACAATAAACTATTTGTAAAAAAAAAAAATAATAAAAGGAATTGAAGGGGGGGATGTGTGCCTGAGTGGCTCAGTCAGTTAAGCGTCTGACTCTTGATATAGGCTCAGGTCATGATCTCACAGTTCATGGGTTCAAGCCCCGCGTCGGTCTCTACACTGACAGTATGAAGCCTGCTTGTCATTTTTTTCTCTCTGTCATTCTCTCTCTCTCTCTCAAAATAAAAAAATGTATCTTAATTTTTTTCATAAAAAAAGGAATTAGGGTTCATTGGAGAAATTCTTTATTACAGATTGGGACAGGGGGCTACCGGAGGATGCTGGAGCATCTTCATGGGCCAGGAAGTGCAAAACTTCACAAAGGATGATGGAGACAAATCAGAACGACACAGAAGCCAGCTGGAAGGAACTCCCTATGGAAAAATCTAGAATAATCAGAACATCCAAGTATTGGATTACAATGCATTGAATACAACAGAAATCCACTAGTTTATAGAGTCAATTAGTGAATGCATGGCGGGGAGAGGGAACACTTTAGAATAGAATGCCGACGAATGGGTACAGAAGGAGCATGGAAAAAAGTGTTATTAGTTCGTTGCCATGGTGGCGGATGACTCAGGTGAGGGTCGTCAGTGGATACTAACACCGGCCGTGGTGGTTTGGGGAGGGTCCTGATATTGGACGAACACTCAAATATCTGTCTCCAAATACCAACCAAATTGTAAGGGAAGGTCAGGTCTTCACCACAGGAAACCTGGCAGATATTTCCTTGGCTAGGTCATCAGAGTGATGGGGACCAGGGATGGGACAGATGGATATCCGAGGCTCCTGATATCGACGGAGGCGGTGTTCATGGGTCGACACTGGGTAGAACCAGAGAGGGGAAAATTTTTTTTAGAAGATGCCATTTGGCGAAACATGAACTGGCAGTGAGGGGTTGGCTGAAGTGTCACATCCCGTGAAGATCTCCTGATGGGGGTTCCGTGGGAACTCGTGCTTGTGGGAGACACACACTGCTGAGCTGACGGTGCCTGATATCAGAACATCCACCTATCTATCTGTCTACCCGTCAGACTCTCTCTATGGCTGGCTGTCTGTGTACACGCATCTTCGTATCCCCAAATCCACCTCCATCTCTCTCTCTTTGGCAAAATATTACCAGAGTAGAAATATAGGTGAGGGTGATGCAAGAATAAATTATAGTTCTTATAGACGTTTTCTGTAAAAAAATAATTGTGAAATCATTTAGAATGAAGAGATTTAATAAGAAGAGACACAGACTTAAATTTTTTTAATGTTTTATTCTTTTTTTTGAGAGAGAGAGAGCCAGACAGACAGAATGCAAGTGGAGAGGCAGAGAGAGAGGGAGACACAGAATCCAAAGCAGGCTCCAGGCTCTGAGCTGTCAGCACAGAGCCTGATGTGGGGCTCGAACTCGTGAGATCATGACCTGAGCTGAAGTTGGATGCTCAACCAACTGAGCCACCCAGCCTCCCCCAAAACAGACAAAGACTTTTATTTTATTAAAAATTTTTAATGTTTATCCATTTAGTTTTGAGAGAGTGCAAGCAGGGGAGGGGCAGAGAGAGAGGGAGAGAGAGAATCCTATGTGGGCTTTGCACCATCAGCGCAGAGCCCAACACAAGGTTTGAACCCACAAACCATGAGATCATGACCTGAGCCAAAACCAAGAGTCAGGCGCCTAACCGACTGAGCCGCCCAGGCACCCAGACATAGACTTTTAAAGATGTTTCTTCAGTTTTATAAAAAGAAAATGTATTTGAATCATCGATGCACGTTTTGTGTGTTAGAGTTTAGTGTGTTTTGTGTGTTTTGTGTTTGCCCTGAATCCCAAATTGATGGGGGCGAGTATATCACCTTGTTAGGACTCAGGTCCTCCGAGATCCTAATGCAGCCCCGGGGGCCAGGTTCTGGGGTAGTTTAGAAGCTAATTTCTTACTTTGTGCAGGTGCTTTACATCCTGAAGCTGAGACTAGAGCCATGTACAAAAGGTAATTTCTCCCCAAAGATCCTGCCCCAACCTCTCTCTCTGCTGTAACCCCTTCACCGCTGCCTAATGCCCCTGTTTCTCTCCCCTCAGCTCTGGCTCCAGCTCCGTGGCTCCTGTCCAGGAGGAGAAGCAGTGTAATTGGGAAGGAGGGGTACTGATAGGAGAAAAGGCTAAGAGGAGGGGTTGGGACGGGTTCTGGGCTTCACATGGAAACTGCCAAATCTGTGTGATTCCTTGCCTCCTGCCAGGCCTCAGTCTCCCTATTTGCATGTGGGACTGCAGCATTTCAGGAATCTTGGAATGAAACAGAACCTTCTCATTCTCCAGATGCTGAGGTGAGAGAGTTCCAGCTTGACGAAGACAAACAGATGGACAGTCGGGTGAGCCCCAGCTCCTGTCCAGGGCACCCAGAAAGCCTTGTTAATTAGCTAAATCCATGGACTGCCTCTCCATCTTCCTATCCCTCAGCTCGACAGCATCTGACCTCACTCTTCCTCTTGAAAGGTGGTACACGGAGGTTGCTGGGACACCACTTTTTTCTGACACCATGTGGGCCCCTTCTTCTCAGTCTCCTTTGAACGGCTGGTTGCCCCTGTTTCATAATGGTAGTGCTGCCAGGGACGGTTGTATAGTTTGTGCACTGCAGAATAGCGATTGTGGGGTTTGAGACCCTACTGGTGAGTCTCTTATCGACACAAAGGCACCCTGCCGAGTGGTCTGTCCATGAACAGGGACCCTCAGCCTGACTTTTTCTCTGCTTCCTCTCTTTTCCCTGGTTGTGTAGATTCAGAGGCAGTGGAACTACGTGATAATATACCTTGAGTGTATGCCTGTCATGTAGCTCCCAGCCCTTCAGGAAGCTCACCCGGCCCCCTTGTTGACCTCAGCATGAGACAACTCTGTATTTTATGCTGTTACATGTATTTAACCCCAGGCACCGCTGGACCATCGCTCATAATTCCAGTTATTTCCGGTGGTGACCTCTGCCTGAGCACCAGCCTCAGATATCCGACCTCCCGTGCATGAGCCATTTCTTAACTTGTCCATCCTGCGGGCGCTTCAACGTCCCACACAACAGCCGCTCAGTCTCCCCGGAAAAGGTGTCTCTCCTTGAGTGTTCACTAGCTCCCCAAATCCAAAAGTCTTTTCCATCTAGAGACATGCTGTTCATCACAGCTGGAAGGGGGCTGCTGCTGGCCTCCAGGGGCTTGGGTGCTGCGGAAGACCCCCCAAGGGACACGACAGCCCCCCGGAGCACAGAAGGACTGGCCGACGGTGTTGATGGTCTCGGTAGAGGAAGAGTTGTAGCAGAAGCGCTCTTTCCTCGTCTCTCCACTGCCGCCGCCACCACCACAAATCACTCTTTCCTTGCTCGTGGGCAGTTTCCAACCGGATGACCACAGATCCCTTGAGAGCAGGGCCCTGATCATTCCTCTTCTTGGCCCCGTGGCAAGTTCCCTGTCTCTGTCTCTCTGTCTGTCTCCCTATGCACATTTTTATGCATGTATCCACTTACCGGGTATGTATGTGTGTGGGCCTAGAGTGAAGTGGATGCATCAAATCCTACATGAATGTTCTGCAGGACTCAGAGTTTTCCCCACATCAGTTCATTTGTTTATTCAGTGAGTCGACAAATCTTTATTAGGAATCTATGTTTGGCGAGGCTCTTAGACTTGGTGATATAAACGTGACTGCAAAAGTACCCGAGTCAGGGATTCACATGATCTGATTTATGGTTTTTTTTTTTAATGTTTATTTAATTTGGAAAGAGAGAGAGAGAGAGAGAGAGAGTGGAGGAGGGGCAGAGAGAGAGGGAAGCCCAGAATCTGAAGCAGGCTCCAGGCTCTGAGCTGTCAACACAGAACCTGACATGGGGCTTGAACTCGCAAATCATTAGATCATGCCCTGAGCCAAAGTCAGACACTCTACTGACTGAGCCACCCAATGCCCCGATCTGACTTATGTTTTAGAAATCTGGACAGGTAAGTGAAGTCTGGAGTCTGGGTGGACAGGTAAGTGAAGAAGGACAAAGTGGAGGAGTTCCACCCACCCCTCCATCCGGCAGCAGAACCCTGACCCCAGGAGAGTGACTGTGCCCCAGGGGAGCCACTCAGGACTCAGGGGTGGAGGTGGCCACTCTTCCTTCCCCCGTGGGAGGGATTGTTGGACAGAAAGGACAGACAGGTGGGACAGGATGGTCAGGAGGCTCCTTGCTGCTCCTGGCATCCCAGCTCCCCACCTGTTCCATAGCTCACTCCCACTGCCCTGCCCTCCAGGCTGCGGTATCTGAAGACGCCCAGGATGTGACGTACGCCCAGCTGATCAGTCTGAATCTTGAACAGGAGACAAGTGCACCCCCTTCCTCCCAGGCAGGGGAGCCGCCCGCAGAGTCCAGCATGTATGCCGCTCTGGCCGTCCACGAGCCCAGGAACTACCCACACCCCGCATTCCAGGAAGAGGACCACAGGGACCCTAAGACGCAGTGAGACTGCCCCCAACGACACTTAGCTAATGGCCCCTGGGCCTGGGACCTCTCACATGCAAGCAGGATATCCTGGGGCTTCAGAAGTCATCTAAGTCTACAGATGAAGATAAGCTCCTTTATCCAATACGTCATCTGCAACCATCTTCTCCCATTCCATCAGTTGCCTATTTGTTTTAGGGATTGTTTCCCTTGCCGTGCAGAAGCTTTTTATCTTGATGAGGTCCCAAGAATTCATTTTTGCTCTTGATTCTCTTGCCTTTGGGGATGTGTCAAGTAAGAAATTGCTGCGGTTGAGGTCAAGGAAGTTGTTTCCTGCTTTCTCCTCTAGGGTTTTGATGGTTTCCTGTCTCACATTCAGGTCCTTCATCCATTTTGAGTTTATTTTTGAAGTATGGTGTGAGAAAATGATCTAGTTTCATTCTTCTGCATGTTGCTGTCCAGTTCTCCCAGCACCATCTGTTAAAGAAGCTGTCTTTTTTCCATTGGATACTCTTTCCCGCTTTGTCAAAGATTTGTTGGCCATACATTTGTGGGTCCAATTCTGAGTTCTCTATTCTATTCCATTGGTCTATGTGTCTGTTTTTGTGCCAATACCATACTGTCTAGATGATTACAGCTTTGCAGTAGAGGCTAAAGTCTGGGATGGTGATGCCTCCCGTTTTGGTTTTCTTCTTCAATATTACTTTGACTATTCGGGGTCTTTTGTGGTTCCATACAAATTTTAGGATACCTTGTTCTAGCTTTGAGAAGAATGCTGGTGCAATTTTGATTGGGATTGAAACGAAGGTGTAGATTGCTTTAGGTAGTAATGACATTTTAACAATATTTATTATTCTGATCCATGATCATGGAATGTTTTTCCATTTCTTTGTGTCTTCTTTAATTTCCTTCATAAAGTTTTCTATAGTTTTCATCATACAGATCTTTTATATCTCTGGTTAAGTTTATTCCTAGGTATATTATGGGTTTTGTGTGTGTGTGCAGTTGTGAATGGGATCAGTTTCTTGATTTCTCTTTTTGTTGCTTCATTATTGGTGTATAAAAATGCAACCAATTTCTGTACACTGATCTTGTACCCTGCAACTTTCAGATAAAGAGCTAATATCCAAAATCTATAAGGAACTCCACACCTGAAAAACAAATAATCCAGTGAAGAAATGGGCAAAAGACATGAACAGACACTTCTCCAAAGAGGACACCCAGATGGCCAACAGACACATGAAACGATGCTCAGCGTCCCTCCTCATCAGGGAAATGCAGATCAAAACCACACTGAGATACCACCTCATGCCAGTCAGAGTGGCTAAAATGATCATATCAGTTGACTCTAGATGCTGGTGATGATGTTGAGAAACGGTCTCCCTCCTACACCGTTGGTGGGAATGTAAACTGGTGCAGCCCCTCTGGAAAACAGTGTGAAGGTTCCTCAAAAAGTTAACAATAGAACTCCCCTATGACCCAGCAATAGCACTGCTAGGAATTTACCCAAGGGACATAGGAGTGCTGATGCATAGAAGCACATGGACCCCAATGTTCATAGCAGCACTCTCCACAATAGCTAAAACATGGAAAGAGCCTAAGTGTCCATCCACGGACGAATGGATCAAGAAGATGTGGTTTATCTATACCATGGAATACTACATGGCAATGAGAAACAATGAAATCTGGCCATGTGTAGCAACATGGATGGAACTAGACGGTGTTATGCTGAGCGAAATAAGTTAGGCAGAGAAGGACAAATACAGATGGCAGGTATAGGAGGATTAGGAGGAACTTAACAGAGGACCGTGGGGGAGAAGAAGGGCGGAAATGGTGGGGGAAAGGGAGAGAGGCAAACCATGAGAGACTGTTGAATGCTGAGAACAAACTGAGGACTGATGGGTGTCGGGGGGAAGGAAAGGGGGGTGATGGGCGTGGAGGAGGACACTTGTTGGGATGAGCACTGGGTGTTATATGGAAAACAACTTAATAATAAACTATGAAAGAAAAAAATAAATAATAAAATAAATAAAATAAAAAATAAGATAAGCTCCATATTTTTAGAAAGAAAGGAAAACACTTCTAAACACTTGCATGGTGGGCAAGAGAAGCAAGCCACAAATGAAGATAGGACTTCTCTTTTTTTTTTCACTCCAGTGGCAATGCAAATATTCTACATCAATGCATAGTTCTACTTAAATGGTGATGTAAATGCTATATGCCAAGATGAAATGGGGACAGTCGGTGCCTGAATGCAGTTAATGCAAAGAGAAGAGAGCCTGCAAATCAACAAGGCAACATTCTATAGAAGCTAGAGAAAGAATAGCAAATTCATCCCATGGCAGTGGGTGAAAATCATATGACCTTATGTTGATCATAAAGAATTAAAAAGAGAGCAATCAAAAAAAAATAATAATAAAAAATAAAAAGAGAGCAATCAATTGTATGAGCTTGGGCTGCTGTAATAAGATACCATAGACTGGGGGGAAAGGGGGAATTAAACAACAGAAATGTATTTCTTCATAGTTCTGGAGTCTGGAAGCCCAAGCCCAAGGTGCTGACAGGTCTCGTGCCCTTGGAGGGTTCTCCGCACGTCTGACGGACGGCTGCTCACATGGCCTTTCCTCAGTGGATATGTGAGGGAAAGAGACAGATCCTTGCTGTTTCTTCTTATAGGGTCACTTACCTTATTTGATCACCTACATTTATGATCTCACCACACTTCATTCTTTCTCGAGGCCCCATCTCCAAACATAACCACACCGGGAGTTAAGGCTCCAACGTGAATTTCTGGGGGTGGGAGACATAGACATCCAGTCCACCTCATTCCACCCTATGTCCCTCCCCCAATATTCATGTCCTTCTCCCATGCAAAGTACATCCATTCCATCCCTACAGCCCCCCTCCCCCAAATCTACACCTATTCCAGCATCAACGATCAAATCTAACATCCAGAATCACATCTAAATATCTTATAAATCAGATATGGGGGAGGTTTGAGGTATGAGCCCTTCTAAGGCAGAATTCCTGAGAATTCTAGATGCTGGCAAAGATGTGGAGAAACGGGCACCCTCCTACACCGTTGGTGGGAATGTAAACTGGTGCAGCCCCTCTGGAAAACAGTATGGAGGCTCCTCAGGAAATTAACAGTAGAACTCCCCTATGACCCAGCAATAGCACTGCTAGGAATTTACCCAAGGGACACAGGAGTGCTGATGCATAGGGGCACATGTACCCCAATGTTCATAGCAGCACTCTCAACAATAACCAAAACATGGAAAGAGCCTAAGTGTCCATCCACGGACGAATGGATCAAGAAGATGTGGTTTATCTATACCATGGAATACTACATGGCAATGAGAAACAATGAAATCTGGCCATGTAGCAACATGGATGGACCTTGAGGGTGTGATGCTGAGCGAAATAAGTCAGGCAGAGAAGGACAAATACCATATGTTTGCACGTATAGGAGGATTGGGAGGAACTTAACAGAGGACCGTGGGGGAGAAGAAGGGGAGAAATAGTGGGGGAAAGGGAAAGAGGCAAACTATGAGAGACTCTTGAATGCTGAGAACAAACTGAGGACTCATGGGTGTAGGGGGGAGGGGGGAGATGGGCATGGAGGAGGGCACTTGTGGGGATGAGCACTGGGTGTTATATGGAAACCAACTTGACAATTAACTATCTGTAAAAAAAAAAAAAAAAATTCCTGTGCAAGTGTGAACCCGTGAGCCAGACAAGTGATGTGCCTCTAGAGCACTAAGCTGGGGCAGGGGTAGGAGAGGGAATTCCCATTCCCTGAGGGAGCAGTAAGAAAGAACACCGGTGATGGGTGAGCAAGACCGAGCGACACAGCTTCCATAGAACTGAAGGCTCCAGGAGAGTCCTCCTGGGCGCTAGGCTCCAGCCGCCAGGCCCTCTGTGGCACTCTGCCACCCCCGTGGTGCACAGCTGCGTGGCCCTACTCAGGAGGAGGACCCCATTCCCGAGGCTTTGAGCAGGGCTTGACCTGTGGAAACAGGCAGTTTCCAAACTCTGAAACCAAGGAGCCAGCCCTCATCTCTGAACTGCCTTTGGGGGTCATCCCTCCTTCTTCTTGAAAACCTGCACACGTTTGCAGACAAATAAGCCTATCGTCGCATCTCGTAGAGTCTGAGATACTGACAACTTCCAATTCCTGCTGTCCGGCCAGTCTCCCGGCCCCACATCTGCTCCAACCGTCCCTCAACGTTGGCTCCTCTCTCTCATTTGTCAGACAATCTTCCCCATCTTTGTGTCCTCGAGCTCAACGGTGCGTTCCTCCATTCGCCTCCCTGCTCCGGAGTCTGATGGGGAGCAGCCTCATGGGGGTGCGCCAGGCACACGCCAACATCATCTCGGCAAAACATGCAACTGCGCGGCGTGCTCGCTCTGGGCTCCACAAACGTCACGACACCGTTCAGCCACATTCTTTGCCACTTTATAACAGAGGTCACTTTTTTCCCACGATCCGAGGCCTTGTTCCTCATTTTGGCCTGAGGTCCTGCCCCAATGGACTTACCCCCCCATTCTTGTGTTTGGCTTTTCCAAACTCTCCAGCCTCTTCCTGTCGTCACTTTCAAACCTTCCGCATCTTTTCTTTAAAGTTCTATTTATTTTGAGAGAGAGCTCAAGCACGGCAGAGAGAGAGAATCCCAAGCAGGCTCCACGCTGTCAGCACAGAGCCCCAACCAGGGCTTGATCCCACCAACAAAGAGATCATGACCAAAGCCAGAAACCAAGAGTTGGGTGGCTGATGGACTGAGCCACCCAGGAGCCCCAAGCTGCTTTCACATCCTGGATATTTGTTCCCACGGCACTGCACTTCTTGGTACTGAAATCAGCATCTGTCTGTTCCGGCTTCTATGACAAAAGTCACAGACTGGGTGGTTTAAGCTACAGAAGTTTCAGGCAAGGTTCCGGTACAGCTGGTGTCTGGTGTGGGCTCTCCGCTGGGGTTGCAGACAGCCCCTTCTTGTCGTGTGCTCGCATGGCCTTAACTCATGAGCACGTAGAGACAGAGAGCGACCTCTCTGGTGCCTCTTTTTTTTATTTTTTAATGTTTATTTTTAAAACAGAAAGAGAGAGAGCAGGGGAGGGGCAGAGAGAGGGAGACATAGAACCTGAAGCAGGCTCCAGGCTCTGAGCTGTCAGCACAGAGACTGACGTGGGGCTCGAACCCACGAACAGTGAGATCATGACCTGAGCTGAAGTCAGACGCTCAACCGGCTGAGCCACCCTGGTGCCCCTGCTGTCTTTTCTTATGAGGTCACTGATCTTATGGAACCAAGGTTCACCCTTACCACCTCAATTAATCTTTTTTTTTTAATGGAAAAAAGATTTATTTATTTATTTTTTTTTACAAATAGTTTATTGTCAAATTAGTTTCCACATAACACTCAGTGCTCATCCCCACAAGTGCCCTCCTCCATGCCCATCCCCCCCTCCCCCCCTCTTCCATCAGTCCTCAGTTTTTGTCAGCATTCAAGAGTCTCTCATGGTTTGCCTCTCTCCCTTTCCCCCACCATTTCCGCCCTTCTTCTCCCCCTTGTTCCTCCGTCAAGTTCCTCGTAATCCTCCTATACGTGCAAACATATGATATTTGTCCTTCTCTGCCTGACTTATTTCGCTCAGCATTACACCCTCAAGGTCCATCCATGTTGCTACACATGGCCAGATTTCATTGTTTCTCATTGCCATGTAGTATTCCATGGTATAGATAAACCACATCTTCTTGATCCATTCATCTGTTGATGGACACTTAGGCTCTTTCCATGTTTTAGCTATTGTGAAGAGTGCTGCTATGAACACCACCTCAATTAATCTTAATTACTTCGATAGAAGCCTCACTTCCAAATACAGCCACAGAGGGGAATTAGGGCCTCAACATATGAATTGGGGGATGGGGAGAAATAATCATCCAGTTCATTACATTAATAAAGCCAAATGTATTTATTATGGAGTATTCTCAGAATGTATCAAGTCCTGGCAACACTCAACAAGAAATAGAGAAAAGACACACAGTTACCCACATCAGTTATAACATAAGGGACATCACTACAAACCCCACAGACTTTTATAACATCAATCTAAATAAAGGAGGTAAATGGAGGCAAGTCCAAATTCCCCCAGAATGGGCTTATTTTGGAATAGTGGAGGAATGTAATTCAGGATGCAAAAACTGTAGCAAGTGACCAGAGATGAGGTCTATTGAGCGTTTAGGGAGGGCTGTGCTTATAGGGTGAGGAATACAAAAAGTATGGGGTTTAGCTAGAGAATGAGCAGCTACTCCTTGATTGAGTCTGGGGGGCAGCTCTGGGTGGACACTCCCTGGTCAAGGGAGAGCTTCCACTTTCCTATAAAATCAGGCACTTCAAGGAACTCTGTCTCTCAGACCTTTAACATTGTCTGCTAAGGACATATGCACCTGATTCTGCATTTCATACCTTCTTGTTCATTTTAAGGCTGAGCCCTTTGAAAATAGATGTAAGTGGGCCTTGCGAAGAACTTTATCCAATTTGGATTAAATGGACTAATATCACCTCCCAAAAAATATTCTAAAACCAGTTCAAGAATAAATAGAAAACCTGAATCATCTTTGAGCTTTTTTAAATTTTTTTTAAAAAATTATTTCTGAGAGAGAGAGAGATGGCAGCAACAGGGGAGGGTCAGAGGGAGAGGGAGATACAGAATCTGAAACAGGCTCCAGGCTCTGAGCTGTCAGCACAGAGCCCGATGCGGGGCTCAAACCCACGAACCGCGAGATCATGACCTGAGCTGAAGTCGGACACTTAACCGACTGAGCCACCCAGGCGCCCCCTGAGCTTTGAAATCAATTACACTGCTAGTTAAAATCATCCCACAAAACTCACTGCAGGCCCGGAAAATTTTACTATGAGCTCCTCCAAACAATTATGGAAGACAAACACCATTGGTATAGACATTTTTATAGCAAATGCACTCCTGCACATTTTCATAGCTAGCATGAACACCCAACAAGAAAATTTAGAGAAGAATATCACACTTCAGTCTCCGACATACTTTTAGATGTAAAATAGCTTTAAAAATGGGGAGAAATGTCTGGTTACATTACTGTTCAATTCACATGCATAAAGGGTAGTAGACAAATATTTCAATAAGGAAGAATTCTCCCCAACAAATCAGGGATTTAATCTAGGCACTGTCCCCTAAATCTTACAGACAGGTTCCCAGAATGAAGAGGAGGGCTCTGCCCCGGAGACAAGGGGCACTGAGGAAGCAGGAGGGGCTCGCAGCTGTGTTCCCAGGGCTTGGGGCGTGGACGCTGTCATGGGGAAATAGAGGAGTCCATGAATGCTGACACAGAAAGAAAACCTAAATCTTGTGCCAGGAGTGAAGTCTTGTTTCCTTCCCTATTTTCTTGTATTTCTCCTCTGTGCGCATTGTCACAGTGACCTCAGCCTGCGTCGTGCAGAAATGTCACAGGGGTGTCCGCACTGACATGAGGCCTCAGAGGAGCTGGAATCCTCATCCTCTGCAGCATCTCTGGGCCCTGGGGACCCCGTGTGAGGTGAGGACCCCCGGGGATGGCTGAAAATGAAGGAGGCCCCATAGGGGAGGCTCTGGGAGGGAAGGATGTGCAGTCATTTCCTCACCTGGACGGGGCATCTCAGGAAGCCTTGGGTCCACTTGCTGCACCACCATGGACACCAGAGTTGGACCCCTGAGGACCATCTGTTCCCCTTCCTGTGGGGCTGCTGACGTGACCACCCCATGACCAGCAGACCAGCCTCCAAGTGGCCATACCCTGTGCTTCTGTCTGATCTGCAGGCACTGAGGTCCCTCCCCGTACCCAGCTGGGTCCAGAGGCAGGAGAAGCCATGACCCCCACCCTCACGGCCCTGCTCCTCCTCGGTGAGATCTCAGGAGGGGAGGGGATGCCCTAGTCTGGGAGGGACCTGCCTCACAGCCAGCCCCTGGGCTGCCAGAGACCCCAGGCACAGGAGGCTCATGGGGAGGAGGGTTCTGCTCAGGATTTGGGGCAAATCTCTCAGGGATTCTCTTGCAGGGCTGAGTGTGGTCCCCAGGACCCTAGTGCAGTCAGGTGAGTGTGTCCCCAGGGATCCATCCCACCTCTCACTGGGGACAGGGCTCACCCACCAGGCATCTGGGAATAGAGAATAGTAGTTCTGGGTGGATGGAGAGGGGACGTCTGGGGGCTTAGAGCTGAGCTGGGAACTGGGGGTGGGGAAGGTCTCGTGATCCAGACTCTGTTTCCTTCCAGGGACCCTCCCCACACCCACCATCTGGGCTGAGCCAAGCCCTGTGGTCCCCTGGGGGACACCTGTGACCATCTGGTGTCAGGGAATCCTGGAGGCCCAGCAGTTCTATCTGGATAGAGACAGACAATCAGTGACCTGGGACAGACAGCCTGCACTGGATCCCAGGAACAAGGTCAAGTTCTCCATCATATACATGACAGAGCAATATGCAGGATGGTATCGCTGTCACTATCAAAGTCCCTCTGGCTTGTCAGAGCACAGTGAACCCCTGGAGCTGGTGGTGACAGGTGCGAGCCCCTCAGGGTCCCAGCCCCAGGCTCTGCCCTCAGGGAGGGGGGTCTGTTCTCATGGAGTCTCTCACAGTCCTGTCCTGGGGACACTGTGGGGGGAACTGAGTCCTATTTAACACTCCCTCCTCCTCTCCTAGGATTCTATCGCAAACCCAGTCTCTCAGCCCTGCCCAGCCCCGTCGTGACCGCAGGAGGGAAGGTGACCCTCCAGTGTGCCTCATGGGAGAAATTCGACAGGTTCGTCCTGATGAAGGAAGGAGAACCCAGGCCCTCCTCGACCCTGGACTCCCAGAGACACACCCGTGGGCAGTTCCAGGCCCTGTTCCCTGTGGGTCCCGTGAACCCTGGGCTCAGGTGGACGTTCAGATGCTATGGCTATTACAGCAACACCCCCCAGATGTGGTCACTCTCCAGCGACCCCTTGGAGGTCCTGATCTCAGGTGAGGGAGTCCAGCCCTATACCCTCTGTGTTCTGATGATCTATTCAGGTCTCTGTCCTCAAGAATTACCTGGGCTGGGATGGGAGAGAGGGGGGCTCTGAGGGAGGGTCACTCAAAGGGAGATCTGTCCCTCATTAGGCCAAGAGAGGCCCTCTGACACCTGCCCACCCTTTGTCCCTCTCCTGGGTCTAAAGATGCCAGGTGAGCAGTGGGACGCTCTTGGGGAGGCCACAGGGCAGGTGTAGAAGTCTGAGTAAGATGGGGACTCCCAGGTCAGCCCCAACCCCCTCACAGGATCCAACTCAAGACTGGTGTGCTACTGGGGTCTGTTTATGCTCCTTCTGAGCACAGACCACCCAAGATCAGTTCTGAGAGCCCCTCAGAAGATCTAACACCCCCTCAGGTACTTAGAAACAATCTCGTGTCTCAGGGACACTGAGATTCCAATAGAGATGACTGGGTGACCACATGTGTCTAGGGGCTCTGAGGCTGGGCCACGGGGCACACGGGGGAGGAGACTGTGAGCAGAGACTAAGGGAAGCTGAGCCCTCTACTCAGATATCGCCTTTTTCCCCAGGGCCCTCTGGAGACCCTGGCCCCTCACCCACAGGTCCCAGCTCAACTGCTGGTGAGTCACGGGGGATTCTGTCCTGGGGTTTCAGAGATGCCAGGACGACCCCCAGGCCAGGGGCTCTGGGCCCAGGGGTGGGGGAGGAGGGCTAGGGTGGTCATGGCACAGGGAGAGGGTGGGGGCCCAGCTGGGGAGCAGCAGCCAGGCTGCGCTGGGGAGCTCGGCAGCCCCACCACCTCACCTTCCTGTCCTTTGATGATGAAGTATGGGGTGCGATTAACTGGGGAGGGGTCTCAGTGCTCCCTGAGATGGCAATTTGGGGCAGGACCCTGGTCCTAGGGGAGGAGTCCCTCCCTATCCCTGACCTCTCTGAGCAGAAAAGACCCTCCCTGTCCCTGTCCTCTTTGAGCAGAAAAGATCAGCTCAGGACCCTGTCTACAGGAAATTCTGAGACAGGATGCAATAAAGGGATCACAAGGGGCAGTTCCACAGAGGAGGGTCCACCCAGGCGAGCTGGAACAGGTAGGAATCCTCACCCCTGCAGTCTCAGATGGGGCTGAGGAGAGAGAGGCACGGACTTAGACACCTTGACCCTGAGAGGAGATGAGGTCAGACTGAGGTTACAAGGCAGAAGTCCCACACACATTCCCCCTGGTGTTTCTGGCTCAGAAGTAGGGTACTGGCTGCTAGTCACGGCCAGGAGCACGGCAGCTGCTCAGGCAGACAAAGATGGCCTGTGGGGGCTGAGTCTTTGTGCGCTCAGCTCTCCTGGGAGATGGGGCTTCTCAGAAAGGAGTTCCCTGTCTGAGAAAGGGGGCTGCCAGCACTGATCTCATTTCTGACCTTCCTCTCCCCAGAACCCAGACCTGGGAAGGTTCAGGAAGCTGTGGGAGATGCAGGTGCATGCAATTTTGGGCATCTGGCCTGGGCCTCAGCAGAGCGTGAGGAAGTCCCAGTATGATGGAGACAATGGAGATTAGTAAATCCCCACTGATTTAGCATCTCAGCTCCTCCTCATCCCACACAAAACCGTGGGACTTTGTACTAAAAGCCACCCAGCCCTTGTTAGCACAGGACAATTTCTAGGCCCCCCAGCCCAGCCAGGTTTGGAGAATTTGTGGGATATAGGATGGAGGGGGTGGGTTTGCAGCACTTGGTGTCCAGGCCTGACTTGGAGCACAGGGAAGATGTTGGGCTGGTGGAGGTGGTAATCTGGGACAGGCATAGAGGGCAGACAGACACTCCTTTGGCAGTTCATACCTCCCATCTCCAAGAGACCCAGAGTATGGAGCCTTTCACCCCCACCCGAGGAGGTCCTCGAGCCCTCTCTCGCCATGACTAGAGCTGCTCAGGCCAAGGTGGGATTTGCTGTGGGTGCAGGTGGACAATCCCCTAAAGAGAAGCCTCCCGCCTGTGGGCACCACTCTGCTGCCCCTGTGCTCCCCTGGGGGCCTCCGTGCCACTCAGGGCACACCTGAGACCAGGTGCTATGCATGGCTCCTGAGAGCCCCCAGAGACACTGCACAGCTCGTCAGTGGGAAATTCGTGTCCTCTCTGCACTGTGTGTGGAAGCTCATCAAGTGTCACTCTGCCTACTTCTCAGAACTTTTAAAGTGATCCTTGCAGGTATAAATTTACAGTATGAGGATGTATGACTTAAAAGTTTTAAAAAAATTCTCCTATTTCATTGGGATTAGATGAAACATATTCATTATGGAGAATAATTTATGATTATAAAGTTTTCTTTTATACAAATGGTTAGAAATGAGGTTTATAAATGATACAGATACATTCTAAAGTTTTATTCATTATTTTGTCTACACTCAAAGCTGAAAAGTTGTTCAACTACTTTATTCATTTATAAATATGATCTTTATTTCTTTATACTTTCTAAATAATAGCTAAGTATAGAAAACAACAATACTGGTTTGGTTAAATTAATTTTATATTCTATTATTCTACTAACTTAGTACAGACTTTCTACCTTTCAGTTGCTTTGCAATTGATCTCCTTTGATTTATTGACAATAATTTTATCAAACTCAAAAAAAGGAAACTTATCTCTTTATTTCCAGATTGTGTGCCAATTTTATTTACAGCAAAAACCTTATAATAATGATGACAAAATAAGACATTAATACAAAACTGATTGTTGCTTTAAGAAAATATCTTCATTGATAGCTCTAATTATTTTAAGGCAAACACATAATAAATCTATGTATTTATACATATAGCAATACTAACCTGTCCATTTCAGTCCATTTTTCAGCTACATTCATGTTTTATTAGAAAAATTTTTTCTTTTCTTTTTTTCTAATGTTTATTTATTTTTGAGAAAGAGAGAGACAGAGAGTGAATGGGGGAGGGACAGAGAGAGAGAGAGAAGCATAGAATCCAAAGCAGGCTCTAGGCTCTGAGTTGTCAGCACACAACCTGATGTGGGACTCAAACCCATGAATCATGAGATCATGACCTGAGCCGAAGTTGGAAGCTTAACCAACTGAGCCACCCAGGCACCCCAGAAAATAATTCTTTACTTAATACAAATTAGGAATTATTTCTGGGCTTATACAATTCCAGGCTTATTCTTTTAAATTTGTAGCCCCAGTGAGATACAGTTAAAAGACTTCTTGGTATCAAAGATTTGCATACAGCCCACTGAATGATATCTATTCTTCATACTCTGAATTCTATAAGCTTATTTAGAATTTTCACATGGAGATTTATAATTAGACTGATCTATAATTTTTTATCTTGTTGCATTTTATGTGAAATAGATTGAAATAAGTTTGCAGGATTACCTAATTTTGTGCTCACCAACCAGTTTTATAACAACATTGATTTTCTCTGCTCTTTATGGCTTTGAGACCAGAAGTGTGACATCCTTGGTTCTGGATATTTATATAGAGAGGAGAGAGTTGTCTTTGAAGATAAAAATCAACTGACTAATGTTCTCCCTTGAATTACATTAGTTTTCAGAGTTGTGACTGACAGACTGAGTTAGAGAGAGTGAGGAGGAGGAGAAGGAAGAGAACAGTGGTGATGATGATGGTGGTAGTATTGATGATGATGGTGATGATGATGATGATGGTGGTGGTAATGATGATAATGGTGGTGGTGGTTATGGTGATGATCATGATGAGGATGGTGATGATGGTGGTAGTGATGGTGGTGATGATCCATAATGAAGATGGGGATGATCATAATGGTGATGATGATAGTGAAGAAGATGGTGACAGTGGTGATAATGGTGATGATGAAGATGATGGTGGTGATAATGGTGGTGGTGGTGATGATGATGATGATGGAGCCTCCCTCATCTATCCTGTCACACCTGGCCCATCTCCCATGCACCACCCCTCCCCCATCCCAACTCCCTATTCTCCTCTGGACCCTCCGACAAACATAGACATGGCTTCACTTACTTCTGAAGAGCATGCTTAGATCTTTCTGGGGACCTACTCTTCCCATACACCTTGTCTAGGTCTTCACATTGCTCCTCTCAGCCTCTTTCTCCTATTGAGGAATCAACTTAAATGTCCTCTCCAAGTGTAACCCTCACTCTGACATTGTTCAGACGTATCTCCTTCCTACCTAGGGTATTTCAAGTAATTACCACAATCTAGGCTGTATGCATTGAATTCTCTCTCTCTCTTTCTCAATATATTCATATATATCACTATATATATTTTATATATTTATGAGCAGCCCCTCATTCATGGACACTGGATCCTGAATTGTTGAAAAATACAAGTTGTTCTAGCCACAAGAGGTAGCTTAGGTGCTCAGAATAAACACAGAGAATATGGAGCTCAAGTACTTCTGTATTGAGAGATGATTTATCTCACTAAATTCTGAGTTAGGGGACACAGGAAGACTCTGCTCCACACCAATTCAGAAGCAAATTCTAAATTCAAAAAAGATAGGGAGACTGAAATAATTCATTCGAAACAGAGAGAATCCTTCTATAACAGAAAGTGTCCATTAAGACTGCATAACAGTTATAGCACGAGAACAAGGGGAAGTATAAGAACACACAGCCTGGGGGACAAGTTTAAGTCTCATCAGAAACTCATCTTTCTCCACATTTTGTGGCTCTCAGGAGCAGCTGGCACCATCAGCCCATCACAAGACAGGCCAGATCGCAACACTGGTGAGTAGGAGAAGGTCTCAGTTATGGAAGTGGCGTGGAGAGTATAGTCCTGTCAAGGGGAGGTGGGTGTCTTGCGTGGACATCCGGGATCTGGGTTGATTTGGGTCTCCCTGACTTCAGTGACCTCTTTGTCCTCAATTCCTAGCCTCCCTCCCCAAAGATCACACAGTGGAGAATCTCATCCGCATGGGCATGGCTGGCTTGATCCTGCTGGTCCTCGGGATTCTGCTATTTCAGGATCACTCCAGTCAGAGAGGAGTCAAAGATGAAGCCAGGAGGTAAATTCAAGAGAGAACAATGCAACAATCAGAATGGCAGAGTCTGGGAAACACCTTGTGTGCCTAAGAAGTTCTGGAATAATATGTTGGGCATGAGCTGTGGGAACTGTCAACATGCCCAGACCAGTCCTCATACTCTGTGACATCATCTCCAACCTCCAAGGACTTATTCCACATACCACATGACACAGTGGTCAAGTACATATCTTTTGTCATTATTTGACACCCATCACATTCCCAAGACTAATAGTGATCAGAGAACAGTATCCATGTGAATTTAGCACGTACTTTAGTTTTCATGCTTGGTACATTGTATGAAATATAGTTGACTTTTGTATATATTCCTTGCCAGGATGGATGGATTCAGGATTGATTATAAATGGAAAGACAGACATAAAAGTTTACCTCTACACAAACATAGCAATCTGCAATAAATCAACTCAGCATCCTCCGTGGCTGCCTTCACCTTGAAAGGTGAATTAGGTCGCCTGCTCAGTCCTGGTACAAAGATTTCCTGTTTTGTATTCCACTCACAGAGACTTAGCAAAAAAGTAGTGAACTAACATGAGCCCATCAAACACAAAGCAAACTATAGAGGCAGAGTCTCCTACATGACATGAGCAGCATAGAAAACGAACAGGCAGACACTGAGGGAGGCAAACCATAAGAGACTTTTAAATACAGTGAACAACCTGAGGGTCACTGGAGGGGAGGTGGGTGGAGGGTGGGATAGATGGGTGATGGGCACTAAGGAGGTCACTTGTTGGGATGAACATTGGGGGTTATATGTTAGAGATGAATCACTGAGTTCTACTCCTGAAATCAATACTACAGTCTATGTTAACTAACTTGAATTTAAATAAATAAACTTGAAAAAAGAAAGGTGCATTTTCCAAAGAAAGAAAGAACATGAACAGGCAGTACCCCACGTTCAAATACCAATGTGGTGACTGTAGGGCATGAGCCTAGTTCAGAGCCCTGTCTGATCACCTAGGTCACTGCCCATGCATCCAGATCCACACAGAGCAGAGGCTGTCTGGTTATTGCACACAACAGTATAGATCAGCATTTTCTCACATGTCCCAGGTGCCAGGGTCTGCATTGGGTGCTGCACACACCCTATTGATGAGTCTTTACCAGCGAAATATTAGGTAGGGATCATCTCTTCCCTTATATAGATGACTTCAGGCTCATGAAGTAATTTGTCAAAATACACTGGATTGGGGCAACTGTCTACAAATAGGTCTGTTTCCAATTATCTGCCAGTTCCACCTCACTGATTCCACGTTGGTATAAAGCATAACATGGTCCTGAAAATTCGTGGGGGCACCTGGGTGGCTCAGTGGATAAGTGTCTGACTTTGGCTCAGGTCATGGTCTCACAGTTTGTGAGTTCAAGACCCGTGTTGGGCTCTGCGCTGACAGCTCAGAGCCTGGAACCTGCTTTGGATTCTGTGTCTCTTGTCTTCTGTGCCCCTCTTCTGCTTGCACTCTGTCTCTCTATATATATCTCTCTCAAAACTAAATAAGCATTTAAAATTAAAAAAAAAAAGAAATTTGTAAAAAGATCTCATGGTAAGTGCTCTTACCACAATGAAAAACAAAAGAGAAAACAGAACTTCACACAGGTGATAGAGCAGACACTTATGCAAGCATGTTCATAGAAGGACTCAAAATACAAAAGTGAAACAATCCAAATGTCCAGCAACTAAGAATGAATAAGGAAACATTTTTTAAAAACCAAAAAAACAAACAAAAAACTATTAATTGCCTCCAACTAGTGCTTTGTGCTAAGCAGGAGACAGAATCCAGTGTCCAGAAGAGGTCATATCTTGGGGACAAGATTTGAGGAGGCAGGAATGACTCGGGTTTTGATGGAGAGAAAATGCTGCTGTCACAGAAAGAGAACGTCGGAGAGAGGAAGTGTGTGAGAGAGAAACAAACCCACAAGCCCCAGCCCAGATCAGGGGGTGCTTCCGTCTGTGAGTCACTGAACCCTGTTATAACGTGTTCCCCATCCTTCTTCTCCTGGGATCACCCAGCCTGTGACAGCCCCATTGGGTCCTCCGGTCAACCAAGGCACGTGTGGGATGCCTCTCAATTCCTCCCACAGCTCACACGACGACAGTCCAGACAGTTCTGCCGCGGAATCTCCTTCCATGACCCCGTCCTGCACCACAGTGAAGTGCAGTCAAAGACTCCAGATGTCATGTTGAAGCCACCATACCAGTTTCCTTCCGGTCCCCCACTCCAGGCCTCACCCCCGATGAAGAGTTTTATTCTCATGGCCCCAAACGTACCTGTCGCTGACCCTCCCCTGACGCGCGAACTGCCCACCTGTCTCCGCCTTCCTCCCATGAGACCCACATCTCCATGTGCTGACACGAACTGAGCTAACCCCTCCGGCCCAGCAGGACCCACTCCTCCCCACAGGCAAACTCATCTCAGTTCGCCCTCCCTCCCCAGAACCACACACACAGAGTTATAACTACACGTGTCTTCCCGGCTTGTGCTCTCTGAGCACATCAGAACGGAGCAGACTCTTCCCAAACCTCCAAGGCCATGAAAACAGTAAAGAACTCCCACTGCCTCTCCCCACTCAACTGTAAATGTATTTGTTACTGGGATTGTGTGAGTGGAACCCAAGAACCTATAACACCATGTAGAATTCAAATCATGTAGTGGTTGGATTAAGGTCAAACTGTTACCACTGCTGATTATCAACCCCATCCTCCTATACAAATGAATCTGCAGGGCCTGGTGTCATGACTGGATGTGGAAACTATTTACTAAACGTTAGTTGATTGGCAGGAAGGTGGAAGGAAGGAAGAAACTTTGCATTTACGAGACTCAGGAAAGGGAAGTGTCTCACCCAGATCTCACAGCCTCTGTAAGGGGCACAGGCAGAACCAGAACTGAAATAGGACCCGTCCCCCAGCCCCGGCCCTCCCTCCCTCCCCCGTGTCCCAGAGCAGAGTCCCTCCCTGGACTGGGCTTGGTGGGGAGCGGGCAGGGTGTGTGGGGTCTGGTGAGACTCACATCTGGTCTGAAAGGTCACGGGGCCTCTGCTGTCGGGCCTCCCTTCAGGGAGAGCACAGCGGGGCCCTGCAGGGCTCTTCCCCTTCCTGGGAGGCCCCTCATGTGACGGGGAACACGGAGCCCGGGCTGTCACACCCCGCGCATGTGTCTGTCCTACAGGCTCTGAGGACTCTGCAAGCTGTCTGCACCGCCGGGACCATGGGAGGCAGCTTCAGGACCCCGACCCTCACTGCCCTTCTGTGCCTCGGTGAGCTTTCTGGCAAGAGGAGGGATGGGGTCGGCCTCCCTCCTGCCTCTGCAGGTCCTGGTCTCAGACCCCAGGACTAGGGGACACACTGGGGGCAGGACTTCTGGGGGAGGAGAGTGCTCAGCTCAGACTGGCCCCAGTGGTCAGTGGACCTGACCAGGCCTGGAGCAGCTACATGGGGGAGGGGGGGCACTCTCACAGGGAACTCTCTTCCAGGGCTGTGTCGGGACCCGTGGGGCCAGGTACAGGCAAGTGAGTGCTCCCCAGACTCCCTGTTTCCACCCAACAACCCGCTGGGCAGCTGGGGTCACAGAGGGTCTGGGCTGATGGCGACCAGTCCGGGAGGGGAATTGGGGTGACAGGTGGGAAACAAGGGAGAAGGCCACGCTCCTAATTCCTCATCTGATTCCTTTCCAGGGTCCCCCTCCAGACCCTCCATCTGGGCTGACCCCAGCCCCAACGTCACCAACTGGAGCCCTGTGACCATCTGGTGTCAGGCGCCTTGGCAGGCTGATGTCTTCTATCTGTATAGAGAGAGGGCCTCTAGACACATGTCCATGGAGATCTCACAGGATTCCAGCAACAAGGCCAGTTTCTCCCTTGAACTCGCTAGCCAGCATGATGCAGGGAGATACCAGTGTCAGTATCACAGCCGGAACGGCTGGTCAGAGGGGAGTGACTTCCTGACCTTGGTGGTGACAGGTAAGGTGGGAGCTGCCCCCCGCCCCGGGGCCCCTCCTCCAGGTGGAAGGGAACAGAGTGTGGCCTGAGGGGGACCCTCGCTCACAGTCCACACTGGGGTACAGGGGCGATGGCCCCTGTAACACTGACCCTCCTTCTCCTCAGGAGTGTACCCAGCACCCTCCCTCTGGGCCATCCCAGGCCCCATGGTGGCCTCAGGAGGGAACGTGTCCCTTTCCTGTAGCTCACAGATCCCACGGCAGACCTTCCGTCTGCTGAAGGAGGGGGGAGCTGACGCGCCCCGACACCTGGAATTGAAGTTCCCTCGTGAGAAGAGGCAGGCGCTCTTCTCTGTGGGCCCTGTGAGCCCCTCCCACGGGGGGACCTACAGGTGCTACGTTTCTCCAGCTTCCTACCAGTACACGTGGTCACTCCCCAGTGAGCCCCTGCACCTTCAGGTCACAGGTGAGGGGGCCCCACCCTGCCCCATCTATTTCTGGGCCCCAAATGACTGACCTAAGCCATGTGCCCAGTGGAGCCCTGGGGGTGATGGGGGCTGAGTGACACTGGTCTTCTGAAGTCAGGCCACAGATGGGAGCCGTGGAGGGGGGACCCACGAGAGCCTCACCTCACACCCCTGGGCCAATGTGGGGTGTGCGTCCCCCCGGTACCACCGTCCCCTCCCGTGCAGGCGCCTACAGGGAGCCCACCCTCTCAGCCCAGCCGGGCTCGCTGGTGCAGCCCGGAGACTACCTGACCCTCCAGTGTCACTCGGAGGCCAGATCTGACACTTTCGCTCTGACGAAGGACGAGGGGCTCACACCTCCCGTGCGTCTAGATGGGCAGCCCAGCCCCGACTTCCCCCTGGGCCCAGTGAGCAGCTCCCACGGGGGCCGGTACAGATGCTATGGTGGACACAACCTCTCCTCCACGTGGTCGGCCCCCAGTGCCCCCCTGGACATCCTGGTCACGGGTGAGGCGCCCACTCCCCATATATGTCTACTCAGGGTGCTGGGACCGTGGTCACCCCTGGGGGTGATGGGGTCCAGGCAGAGGGTCAGGAGCAGAGGCTGAGCTGGGGCTTAGAAGGGGACAGTGCGGGCCAGGGAGACAAAGGACACCCATCCGAGAGGCAAGAGGAAATGAGAGGGGGTTACCCAGACCCCAGGAGAGAGCACAGTAGTCCCCCAGCTCAGGGTCCAGGGCGTGTGAGGAGGGGCGGATCTGTACAGGTCATGCATTTACTCCCACAGGACTGCTCAGGAAACCATCCCTCTCGGCCCAGCCGGGGTCCCTAGTGTCCTGGGGAGAGAACGTGACCCTGGAATGTCATTCTGAAATCTGGTTCGATACCTTCTACCTGTCCAAGGAGGGGTCACCTGCTCCTCCCCAGCACATTCGTCTACAGGACGCAGCTGCACCTTATCAGGTCAACTTCAGCTTTAGTCTTGTGACCTCAGACCATGAGGGGAGCTACAGGTGCTACGGCTCACAGAGCACCTCCCCCTACGTGTTGTCACAGCCCAGTGACCCCCTGGAGCTGCTGGTCTCAGGTGAGGGGCCCAGACTCCATGTCCATTTTGGGCCCAGACACTTGGGTCACTACCCTGCTACAGGAGAGCTTTGGGTTGAGATGAGGAGGAGGAGAAACGGGGATCAGCCACCAGGTGGAAAAGATGGAGAGCCCCATGTCCTCCATGTGTTACCACCACCAGAGGGACGGGGCAGCACCAGGTGTGTGCAGGGAGGAGACTGAAGAGTTTAAAGGATGAGCTTTGAGGAGAGCAGTAGTGCTGAGGGGGACGTGAGGACCACAGCCTCCTTCCTGTTTCAGGCAGCATTAAGAGTCTGTAGTCACCCCCATGGACAATCCTCATGTCTATGCTTCAAATATTTACAGAGGGGTTGTTCCCACAGCACCTGGGGCCACGGGAGGTGGGAAATGAAAGGAGAGGCAATCGTGTGCAGCAGCGTTGAGCTCATTGGTTCCGACTGGGTAGTCAGTGTAGGGGAAATGCATGAGGGAGAAGCCCAGTTGAGTGCAGAGAAAAGAGCTGACTCCGTTCTGCCCTTGGTGCTAATATCTAGAAAGTAAGAGTATCATGCTACCTATGGAAATAGGTCCATAATATGAAGGGCAGAGTAGGGGTATCCCTCATTTTCTGGCCAGGAGGATGGGGGATTCACTGGAAGTCTTAAGTCAGTTTGAGTCAGTTCAGCCACTCTTCACTGAGACATTGATAAAATCCTATTCACATCTGAACAGGAGAAATCCTGTTCTCCCAGCTGTCAAAGGCAGAATCCCATCCTGGATTTAAAAGTCTTAAAACGGTTCTGAGCTTTGGTACCAGTGAATTCTGTGGAACAAGTGTCAGGAATTCCTCTCTCTTGGGGCTTCAGTAACCACTGACATTCTTTGAAAGGAAAGAGGGAAAGGCTGGATTTCTCCCCAAATTCCATGAGCACATTGTCAGGTGGATCAGGCCATCCTCCAAAACATCTTTCCTAAGATTTCATGTTTCCTATTCTCTCCTCTCACTCTAGGGTACTTGGTATTTCTTGATATTTCTATTGTCATTTGATCAAAGGCTGTCTCATATCTGTAGATCTCTATATATTTGTTCATGTGTCCATCTGCATTTTTATTTTGCCATTTATCTTTATTTTGTTTCTTATCATTCTTCATATCTAGATGACAAATTGAATGATTAGGAGTGATGTGAATTATGCTAATCCTTGCTCCTAGAAAAATGCCTAATGTGTGGTATAGAATCCATCATTTATTTTCAAAAAGAATAGATTGATAATAAAAGAATAGAAACTGCTTTGGAAATAAAATAGTCACAAGTCAGGAGCTGGCTGAGGTGAAGGAATGAAAAGGTACCCAGCCTTTCACTCCATCACACTACTGATTCTCAGAGCAAAATGAAGACTCAAATGTTTATTTTTGCCTCCTAGTTAGATGGAAGATGAGAAGCTGGAGATGCTTCCCTCTAGGCATTGAGATTGACATTAGCCAGTTTCAGGGACTCCCTGGACATGACAGAAGAGATAACTTATGCGTTCCTATGTCTCCATAACCACACTCTATTTTTGACTTTCATGTGTAGCTGATATCCTCAGACCATCACAAAACAGGCCAGACTCCAAGAAGATGAGGAGAAATTCTTGGTTTTGGGGCTGGGTTGACAAGTTTCAAGTTCTGTCAATGAATTCAGGTGACCACAGTGGACATGCAGGCATCACAGCATGACTTCAGTCTGTCCTGATCACAACAATCACTTGGTCCACATTTTCTAGCTTCAAACAGCCAAGATTACACACTAGAGAATCTCATCTGAATGGATGATCTTTCTGAGTTCCATCAGCTCTGGGCTAAGCCTTAGGAAAGCCTGAGACAGTGACAAATGTGTGGATCTGGAGGCCTCCAAAGAGGAGGGTCCAGCCGAGGAGAGGGTGAAGAGACCAGGGCCTCCACATCAGGTGTCCCTGATTCTGAGTTTCAGCAGAGATGAGAGGCAGGGAGGCTGGATGCAGCGTGGGTAATTGAGGATGATCATGAGTAGACAGAGGCCTACTCACCTCCTGGTGTCTCTATATCAGAATCTGAACCGCAGTGTCAGCCCCCACAGGACACTCCCATAGAGAAGAGCCTTCCCTCCTGTGGGCACCACTCTGATGCCCCTTGTGCAGACCTGGGGGTTTTGAGCCACTCGGGGCACAACTGAGACCGGGAGTGGGGGGCATGCACAGCTCCCAGGAGTAATTATTTATCTATTTGGGATTTGTTTGGCTTTAAATGTTATTTATCATAATTTTTTAAATTTTTATTTATTTATTTCTAGGAGAGAGAGAGAGACAGCGTGAACAGGGGAGGGTCAGAGAGAGAGGGAGTCACAGACTGAAACAGGCTCCAGGCTCTGAGCTGGCAGTCAGCACAGAGCCCGACGCGGGGCTCGAACCCACAAACTGCGAGATCATGACCTAAGCAAAAGTTGGACGCTTAACCGACTAAGCCACCCAGGCGCCCCTATTTATCATAATTTTTTATTTTATATTTCTAAGCAATCAACTATTTTTCAATCGGACACTTCTGATTTACTGAAAATAATTACATACAACACAAAAAAATTGAAATCTCTCTTCTCCAGATTGTACATATATTCTATTTGCATCAAATACCACATGATACTAATGTCAATGTAAAATGCTAAAGATAGACGTGAAGCTCATTTTAAGAAAAATCTTCTTTTATCAGACAAATTATTTGCAGGCAAACAGCAGAAATCTCTGTCTTCTAAACACAGAATTACTGACTTATCTATTTTAGTTTATTTTTCCTTTACTTCAGGGTTTTATCAGGTGGAAAAAGTATTTTTAAGCAATGAATTAAGAATTTTTCTCCAGAAGGGGCGCCTGGGTGGCTTAGTCGGTTAAGCGTCCGACTTTCGCTTGGGTCATGATCTCGCGGTTCGTGGGTTCGAGCCCCGCGTCGGGCTCTGTGCTGACTGCCAGCTCAGAGCCTGGAGCCTGTTTCAGTCTGTGACTCCCTCTCTCTCTGACCCTCCCCTGCTCACGCTGTCTCTCTCTCTCTCTCTCCTAGAAATAAATAAAAATATTAAAAAAATAAATATGTAAAAAAAAAAAAGAATTTTTCTCCAGACAACTGAACATCTCATGAACAATTATATTTTCTCCTTGAATTTGGCCATGGTGAGATTCACTGAAAGTTCTTGACTTGTTCTATAACATCTATCATTCAAACACTCAGATGACATATGTCATTCATTCTTATTTTCTTTTTTTTTAATGTTTTAATGTTTATTTTTGAGAGAAACAGAGCGCAAGTGGGAGGGGGCAGGAGGAAGGGATACATAGAATCTGAAGCAGACTCCAGGCTCTGAGCTGTCAGCACAGAGCCTGATGTGAGGCTCGAACTCATGAACTGTGAGATCACAACCTGAGCCGAAGTTGGACACTTAACCGACTGAGCCACCCAGGCACCCAATTCCTATTTTCTGAATTGTATAAGCTTACTTAAAATTTTTACATGGAGATCTATAAAAAGCAGTGACCTAAAATTGGTTTTTGTTTTTTGAAACCATTTTTTTCATTTTTAGGTTAAAGCAGTTAAAATTTAGTTGAAGGATTACCTAAATTTTGTGCTCAGCTTTCTAACACCACCGACTTTCTCTCTTCTTTATTAAGATCAGAACTGTGACCTCCTTGGTTCTGGACATATAGATGGAGAGGAGAGGGTTGTCTTTTAAGATAAAAATCAAATAATTAGTCCTCTCTCCTTGAAATCTTACAGCAGTTCCTAGAGTTCTTCATGGCAGATAGACAGAAAGAAAGAAGGAAAGAATGACATGAGAAGGAGGAGGAATTGAAGGAGGAGAAAGATGACAATAATACTGATGATGGTGATGATGGTGATGATGATGAATATGAAGGTGATAATCATGGCAGTGGTCACAATCATGATGATGACAGTGGAGCTGATGATGATTATTGGTGATGGTGGTGATGGGGATGATAATGGTGATGGTACTGATGATGGTAACGATAATGATGATGATGGTGATGATTGTGATGGTGAAGTAACGATGATGATGAGGAGGAGGATGGTGTTGATGATGACAATGATCGTAAAGATGGTGGTGATGATGTTGAATGTGATGGTGGTCATCTTGATAGCGATCATCATGACGTTGACAGTGGTGATGGTGATGATGGTGATGATGTGGAATATGGTGGTGATGATGGTAATGATGAAGGTGATCATAACAATTATGATGATGAAGCTGGTGATGATGATGGTGATGATAATGATGGTGGTGGTAATGATAGTGGTTGTAGTTATGGTGATGATGATGGTGATGATTATGGTGATGATGATTATGGTGATGATGGTGATGATGGAGCTTCCCTCATCTATTTTGTCACACATGGCCTATTTCCCATCACCAGACCCCTAGATGCCACCTCCTTGTTCTCCTCTGGATCCTCCTACAACCACAGACATGGCTTCATTCCTTACTGAAAAGCATGCTTAGAACTTTTTGGGGACCTGCTCTTCCCACAGCCTGTGACTCACCTTCTCTGGTCTTCATGTGACTCCCCTCAGTCTCCTTCTCCTATTCAGGATTCAGCTGAAATGTCACCTCCAAGTGAGGCCTTCTCTGTGACACTGTTCAGAACTACCTGCCAATATAGACTCACACAGACTCACAATCTAAGGCAGAAATACCATTTAACGCCCCACCAAGTTGACAGCACCATTTAGAAAATATTATGCATATGCATAGGTGTGTATGTGTCACACTGTAAGCATACATAAATGTATGAAGAATTATTTAATGAAAGAATATGTGCACGAGAAATTTGCAGGTGAAGATTGAAAGGCTGACTGGAGGAAGGGAGCTGCTGGAGATTGAAAGGGAGCCTGCCCCAGAATTTCAACCTTCTGTGCTCCTGAAATTCAGCTTCTCATGAAGACCAATCCCTCATCTATAGATCCTGAGTTCTCAGTTGTTGAATAAATGCAAGCTTTCACCTACAACTTAGCTTGCATGGTCCTGTGCCCAGAATGAACAGGAGAATAGAGGGGTTCAATTGTTTCTGTACTTAGAGTCCAGTCTTCTCAGTAAAGCTGAGACTTTGGGGCACAACAAAGCTCTGCTCCAAAAAGTCAGAAGAAAGTCTGAATTCACAAAACACGGGGAGACAGAAATAATTCAATGAGAACAGAGGGGATGCTTAGGGACTACATAATAGTTATATCAAGAGAAGTAGGGGAGATAGAAGAACCCACAGCCCAGGGAATAAGTTTGAATTCATTTAGCTTCTCATCTTCCCCCGCTTTTCATTGGTTCTCAGAAGCAGCTGACACCATCATCTCATCACAAAACAAGTCATACCGCAGTAGTGGTGAATACGAGAACCTCAGTCATGGGATTAGTGTGGAGTGTGAAGTCCTGTCAAGGGGAGGTGGGTGCCCTGGGTGGACATCCAGGATCAGGACAATTTTGGTCTCTCTGATCTCAGTGACCTCTTTGTCCTCAATTCCTAGCCTCGCACTCCAAAGATTACACAGTAGAGAATCTCATCCGCATGGGCATGGCTGGCTTGATCCTGGTGGTCCTCGGGATTCTGCTATTTTGGGAATGGTACAGCCAGAGAGGAATCAAAGATGAAGCCAGGAGGTAAACACAAGAGCATCAGTGCAACAATCAGTGTGCCCAGGATTTTCTGGAATAGTATGTGGGGCATATGCCTTGTGAACTATCTGCAGGTCGTTGTGAGGAGGAGCCATGGCTTATGTGCAGGAACAATGCCTAGACTCCTGCCATTAAACTGTGGACTCTCCTTCCCAACCATCATTGAGTTGTCCTGACTGGTTCATCTTTCCCCCTTTGCTGAAACCAACTTACATCACAGATTGTAGATATCAGTCCACACCTTCATACATCATCATGCTCTGGCACAGTTTTAGGTAACCCATTTTTCTCCACTCCTAATCACCATTTATCTTGAAGTCCATGAAGAGGTTTCCATCCCTTCAGTTCAGACAATGCAGGCTGTTTTAAAGAATCATAAATCAGCTAAAAAGACGCAGCCTGAATGAGATAAATCCACAAGATAACCAACATCTTCTGTGCATCACTTCACTCCCATCACATGGCCTGGTGTGCACTGCCTCTGAGAAATCCACTGTGCACAATGCTAGTTTGTGGCATTGACCAGTACCTCTGGTGTATCTTCTCCCTTCATAGGCAACCCCAAGGAACCACTGTGAGGTCCTTAATGGGAGCCATGTGCAGAACTGAAGTCACAAAAGAGTACAAATCAACACAGGACCCCTTTAATGCCACTATACTGGCCCCAAAGTGCACTGGCGTTTCCCTGTATTTGATGTGTAACAATTATTTCTACTTCTGTTTATGGAAAAGCTTCAGTGAAATCACAGGACCGAAGCTCCAGCACATCCAGATGAGATGCAAAGAGAAAAAGTTTGATATCAATTGTAGGAGAGGGACATGAGCATACTACCTAATTTATTACTTGTAGGATGCAAGTTACATGAAATTGAGGGATGGATTATAATTAATTACTTTCAGAGTCAAGAGATGGATTATAATTAACTACTTACAAGAAGAGACACACAGCTCTAATCTTTAAATACAAACTTTAGAGAAAATGTATACATATCCACCATGATCCACCAAGAACACTGACGAGATATTCATATTAACCAAAAATCATTGTCAGATTACATGCACAAGCAAGAAAAGAGAAAATACAGAAAACTTATATTCTATGTAGATTGTACAAAATTGTACATTCAATGTCTGTAAAAATACACCAATAGATTGCAAATGATCATGTATTTTTACGTTCAAACATAAGAGTGAAAAAGTAAAATTATGAGAACATTGTGTTAAGGATTATCCCATCCTCATTTAATTTTTTTGGTTTCAAAAAAATTGTATTCACAGGTACCTGGGATGAAGACTTGAATGTATCATTTTGGGTGACAAAATTCATTTGCAAAAGTAACCCAATATACACAAGGATAAATTTAGCAAAGAAGGTACAATAGTTACACATGTTAGTTTTGTGTTTTTTTAATATGCTGAAAGACTTTGAAAAGACCTAAGTCAATGGAATGGCATCCTAGAATCACAGCTTGGAAGAAGTGACATGGTAAAGGTGATGATACTCTCCCAGGCAATCTACCAGATCAATTCAATCGCTATCAAAGTCCCAAAGCCTGTTTCAGCAGAAATGGAAAGGACATATCTTTAATGCTAAGTTTGCAAAAGGGGGCACCTTAGTGGCTCACTTGGTTCAGTGCCTGACTTCTGCTCAGATCAATATCTCACAGCTCGTGAGTACAAGCACCACATCAGGCTCACTGCTATCAGTGTGGAGCCTACTTCAGATCCTCTGTCCCCCCCCCTCTCTGCCCCTCCCCTGTTCACTGTCTCTCAAAAATAAATAAGCATTAAAAAAAATTTGCCAAAGACTCATAACGCCCAGAATCTTGAAAAGGATGAAGTTGGAGAACACGCTTCCTGATTTCAAACTTACTAAAAACAGTGTAATCGAAAGGGTGGTACTGGCATCAAGACAGATACATGGATGCATGGAACATTTTTGGAGTACAAGATATAAACCTATACATATGATCAGTTGACTTTTGGCAAGGGCACCAAGACCTGTCAGTGAAGAAAGAATAATCTCTTCCACAAACTGTGCTGGGAAAACTGGATATCCACGTGCAAGACAATGAAACTGGATCCTTACACACACTACATACAAAAACTAGCTCCAAATGGATTGATATAAGAGCTCAAATATACAGTCTGACAGAAAAACAGACTAAACCTTCATAACCTTGACTTTACAACAGTTCCTTCGATGTCATGCCAAAAAGAAGTAGCAAAAGTAGCAAAAGAAACAAAATAGATCAACTGAACTTCATCAAAATAAAAAATGCATGTGCAAAGGAAAGTGGAAAAGACAGCCTACAAAATGGTGGGAAATATTTACAAACCAAATATCTAACCAGAGGGTAGTATTCACAATACATAAAGAACACCTTTAACTCAACAGCAAAAACAAACAAAAAATCAATTTAAAAAATTAGTCAAATGGCTTAAACAGACATTTCCACAAACAAGATACACAAATGGGCAGCAAGCATATGAAAAGAGTCTCAACTCATTCGTCAATAGGAAATTCAAATACAAGCACAATGAGCTACCACTTCACACCCACTATATTGGCTATACTTCGGAAAAAATACAAGTGTCATTGAGGAAGTGGAGGAATCTGAACCCTCACATTTTGCTTTTGGGAATGTGAAATGGATTGGCCACTGTGGAAAACACTTTGGCAGATCCTTAAAACTCAGAATTGCCATATAATCAGGAAATTTCACTTCTAGGCATAAGTTTTAGTTCTGCAACCTAGATAATTCTGGAAATCGTTGTGTAACCACATGCCTGTAGTGAACAATATGTTAGTGGAACAGAAACCTTCAAAGAGGGTAGATCTCGTGATAAGTGCTCTTACCACAATGAAAAATAGAAATAAAGAAGAATTGCACACAAGTACTCAAGCGCACAGTTATGCGTGTATGCTCACAAACGACTCACAAGAGACAAAAAGTGGCCAACAATCCAAATGTCCACCAACTGATATATGGATGAACAAACAAAAACAGAAAATATATATTAATTGCCTCCAATCAGTATTTTACACAAAGAGAAAGACAGGATTCACAGTCTTGATGAAGAGCTCATTGTCCGGGGGACAAGAGGCAGTGAGGAGGGAGGAATGACTCAGGTTTTGATGGGGAGAAGGTGCTGCTGTCACAGGAAGAGAATCTCAGAGAGAGAAAGTGTGAGCGAGAAACAAACCCACAAACCCAAGCCCAGATCCGGGGGTGGCTCGTTCTGCAAGTCACTGAACAGAAAAGTGTTCCCCATCCTTCTTCTCCTGGGGTCACCCAGCCTGTGACAGCCCCATTGGGTCCTCCGGTCAACCGAGGCCGGTGTGGGACACCTCTCAATACCTCACTCCCACAGCTCACACGACGACAGTCCAGACAGTTCTGCCCCGAAACCCTGTTTCCATGACCCCGTCCAGCACCACAGTAAAGCACAGTCAAAGACTCCAGACGTCAGCTTCCTTCTGGTCCCCACTCCAGGCCTCACCCCCTGAAGAACTGTTTTATTCTCAAGGCCCCAAACATACCTGTCTCAACCCTCCATGCACACAACCTGCCCTCTGTCTCCACCTTCCTCCCATGAGACCCATGTGTCTACACCTGACACGCCCACTCCTCCCCACAAGCAAACTCACCCCAGTTCACCTCCTTTCTCCTAACACCACGCACACTAGGTTATAACTACACACGTGTCTTCCCCGGGTGCACTCGCTGAGCTCACCTGAACACAGCAGACTCTTTCCCAAACCTCTGAGGCCATGAGAACAACAAAGAACTCTCGCTGCCTCTTCCCATTCAACTATGAATGTATTTGTTACAGGGAGTGTGTGAGTCGCTCCCAAGAACCCACAACAGCACGTGGAATGCAGATCGCCTCATCGTGTATGGTCAGATTAAGGTCAGAGTGTTAACACGGCCGACTATCAACACCATCCTCCCACGAAACATGAACCTCCAGTGCCTGGTGACTGACCGGACGTGGTAACTACTCACTAAATATTGGCTGTTTCCCAGGGTGGTGGAAGGAAGGAAGAAACCTTGCATTTACAGAACTCAGGAAGGGAAGTGTCTCACCCTGATCTCACAGCCTCTGTAAGGGGCACAGGCAGAACCAGAACTGAAATTGGACCGGCCCTCCCTCCCCCGCCTCGTGTCCCAGTCCAGAGTCCCTCTCTGGACTGGGCTTGGTGGGGGGCAGACAGGGTGTGTGGGGTCTGGTGAGACTCACATCTGGTCTGAAAGGTCACAGGGCCTCTGCCCCATGATTCCTAACTAGGATGGAGGTCATCAATCAAGACGTGGGGATTACTTCAGAGCTAGGATTCAACTCCAGTAGACAGTAGTGTGGGCACTCTACAGGTCTCAGTCCCACACTGAACTGTAACTAGCATGCCTGGCCTCCCCTCGGGGATTTGAAGAAAGTTCATGAGGAAAAAGTAGCTCCCCTTTCCTGTGGAATTCATCAGAACTCCTCATATATGACATTCTGTGGATCTGTTCTTTCTGATCCTGTTATCCCTTCATGTGAGTGAGAAATAAATAAAGAAACTACAAACAACCAGAACAACTAATTAAATGGCAATTGTAAGTTTTCACATATCAGGGCCACTTTCAATGTAAATGGATTATCAAAAGACAGACTGGCTGAGGGATAAGAAGAAATAACATCCAATCACAGGCTGCCTACAGGTGATTCATTTCAGCTTCAAGTCACAGGATGACTGAAAAGGAAGGGAGGTGCAGTGGAGTGAAAGAACAGATAATAAACGTTGTGAAAATTTAAGGTGTACAAGTGTTGACTGACTCACTTATATACTGCAAGTTGATTGCCACCATGGCTTAGCAAACTCCTCCCTCACATCACATAATCACCATATCTTTTATTGTGGTGAGAATATTGAAGATCTTTTCTCTAAGCAGCTTACAAGGATTTAATACAGTGTTGCTATCTATAATCACTATGCTGTGCATTACATGTCCAGAACTCATTCATCTTATAACTAGAAGTTTGTACCCCTTTGACCATCATCTCCCCATTTCCCCCAGCCACACTGGCCTTGCTAAACACCACTTTACTTTTCTTTGTTTCTGCTTCTAAGAGCTTAACTCTTTTTTAGATTCCACACGTAAGTGAAATCATACATT